GCGTGGATCTCGTCCCCACTCCCCGATGAAATATGTTTGTTTCATGTTTTACAATGAAAGGACTCGAGCATAGGGGCAAGTCTAGGGACATCTGAAAACTATACAGGGACATACGCGGGAAAATCAGAGAGCGTGCATAGGGAATGTGGGGAGAACGATGCTAACAGATGCGGTATTTCGAAAAAAATAAACAATAACGAACGTTGGCTCGCTCTGTCCCCCGTGGGGCCTCCGAACTATTCTAGGAGGCAGCCATGCGCGCAGCTCCGGAGAAGAACGCAGACAACACACACACGGAACACAATGGATCGCGGCCAGGCACCGTTTCTTCAGAACAGTTGGAGCGATCAACGACTCGCGGCGAGCTCCCGAGAGGCGCTTCCGATTTGGCACTGGATGCCTGACGGCCTCAAGCTGTTGGATAGCAATCTTGCGTGCGACGCACCCACAAGCTGTCGAATGGCCGTACAAAAAAAATTGTACTATAAATAAGCGAACACACAGGGTGCAATGAAACTATTCACAAAGGTGTCATTAGGTGGTGTATTTGTTATTAAAGAAAAAATGTAAGCCAAAGCAAAGAGAAGAAAGGTTAATCCTGTCATTTATGCGCAGGAAGAAAAACGGAAAAAAAAAAAAAAAAAACGTGGTTGACGCTTACGCTTACAAATGAAACTTCGAGCTTTGAGGCTCAATAGTCGGGACATTTGGCGAGAAAGCCGGTGAGATCGCTGACCATCGCGATTGGTCAGCGCCGAGGTCAAGCGCGGCGCTGGCCAATCGCAGCGGCCGTCGATCTCGCCGACTTTCTCGCCAAGCGTCCAACTTGGAGACCCCGCAATCCTTTACATTCGGACAGATAAGTCGCATGGTCGAGGCATGAGAGTTAGCTGAAAATTACCCTAGGTGGAACAATTCTGTCCTCATCGCAACTTTCGTCGCTCCGGAGCCCATAGTTTCAGTTTTGAACGAAATCTCCAAAACGAAAGTTGGACATGCAAATAACAGAACTATGCTCTGCAAGTTTATGTGCACCGGCTCCACTTAACCGACGCAGTTCAAATACGTATAAAATTGGGCATTAAACAAAAGAAAATCTATTAAATTAAATGCGCCACCCGTTCAGGCGGCCCGGCCGAGCCGACGCGACTTGGACCCAGCCGCCATATTCGTTAGGTGGTGGCGCCCCCTATAGGTCGCCGGAGTTGCGAAATTCCCATAATGCAACATTGCGCGCGCTGAATTGTGGGACGTCACAAACCTATACATCAATTTAACTTCCCCGCTAAATTTAGCGCAGAAATTGAATTGGTGTGTAGGGATGTGACGTCCCATAATGCAGCACTGCGTGCGTTGCATTAAAGAAACGCCACAGGCCACGAATTCACAAAATCCGGAGCGACTAGCCAAACAGTCTCACGTTAAAAACAACAACTGGTGTTTCCCTGTTTGTGCTAACAGTGTCACGCTTTGTGCTCAGCACCTAGCAACGTTTCTCTGTATGCCAAAGAACAGCAAAGAGAAAAAAAAAAAAAACGAAAAAAAAATTAAAAAAAAGTCCGAGCAAGTCTTTAGATGACAAAGATGACGGTGTCGCGTGTTGTTGAGTCGGCTGAGTTGTTCTCTCCGTGAATATGTTTGAGACTTCCGCAGGCGCATGAAACGAACAAAAAAAAAATTAAAACAAAAAAATAAATATTGTGCCCGAAAAAAAAAACGCGCGCGTTTTTTGAAAGGCGGAAAAGTTCCGGCGCGCGCGTCGGGTCTCAGCGAGGACCTCAACCACGCAAATGGCGCGGCCTTCCTCCTCGTGGGTTATAAACGTCATAAAGTAATTCTAAGCGGTATTTGCAAAAAATAAAAAAAAAAAAAAATCGTTGCACCGCCCAAATATTCTAAGATCAGTTTCGCTTGCTCCGGCATGTAATTTGGCACGAAGGGGGTAGATAATTGCTTTAAAACATCAACGAGCAAACTTGCCTCAATCAAAAGGTACAATTAATAAACAAAATAGTGTCTACGTCTCAGTATACAGTTAAGCATTTTTAAGCCATTGTAAACCAAAACAGACAAACGAAGAAAAAATAAACCGTTATTGTGGAAATTTTGGATATATGGTCGTACGGAATTAACAAATAGGGCGAAGAAAATAATCTTGACTTTGCTCTCGTTTAGTTTCATTTTTATGAGACATAGGAAATGTTTTTTAGTTGTAACTCTTTGATTAAGGCAGGTCTGTTTTGAACAAACAGATCCACCGCCCAGCCGCTCCTTTTTGTTAAACGGCGAAACTTATTTTTTGCGATTTATTAAACTGGGCTCGATCCGTTGAGCCCTCGCTGTATACTGTGTACACTGCGTGCAGTTTTACAAGTAGCGTCAAACGGCAACAATGCACAGGTCCGTGCCCTAGCCGTGCGGCCCTTGAAGGCTGTCGAGGCGAGACTATAGGATATTAAAACATGACTAAAATGTGAAATCTTGTTAGGAGTTCTCTTCGCTGAAAACTGCCTTCTCCGCCGTCTGCTCCTCTCGTTGTCGCCCCGCACCCCCCCCCCCCCCCCCCCCCCCCCCGTCATTTCTTTCCCTTATTCGGTACATGGTTCTGGGCGTCCACGTCCGCTGACACAGTAAATGGCGTCGCAGCACTCGCTTGTGACACGTGTCTCGTGCGTTCGCACAATGGCTGTCTGTACTTCTATGAGGAGCAAATCGTGAATTTGATCCGGGGGCTTTACTCCTCCTTTCTGTGGGGTGTAACTCCGTTGACAGCATCTGTCCATGCTGGCTATTTTAGACCCTTTTGTGATGCAGACCTTGGAAGTGGTCGTAAGTTTCTTTAAGGGATGACAACCTAGATTCTTGTCCAGTGTTCTCGGTCGACGTTGAAGGATTGTTCTATTCGATTCCTCAAGGGACCCTTTAAGTGGCTGTCAGGGACTTCGCATCGACGCGTCTGGTGAGGTCAAGTTCCGGAACTCTCCTGGAGTTGCTTTTGAAGGTTCTTTTGGAATGATTCGGTTATTATCTGAAGTCTATGACGGTGCAATGGGAAGGGGGGTTCTTTCATACAAAAGAACGGCATTTCTACAGGTTCCTGTGTTACACCGGCAAACAAAAACGATTTTTTTTTTTTAATATGTGGACATTTTTTAGTATTACTTTTTTCGGACAAGGATGCGGGGGCAGATGTTATCGGCCTGACATTGGCCGTCTTCAGCCCACTAGGGAAGGGACTGAAGTTTACATTTCAGGTACCATTTTAAGGTTGCATACAATTTTTAAATTTGTCCCTCCAATTGAAAGGGACCATGTATGCTAATACTTCAGCCCGCGATCTTTGAAGGGTCTGCTTCCGTACGACTCAGCCCAATCGAAGTTGGTAAAGAAAGGAATTGCGGGGTCCAGCTTTAGATCGGCTCCCAGCAAGTTTTGCTTTCATGCAGTAAAGAAAAGATTCAACGGCCAAGTTAAAAAAAAGAAAAGAAAAAAAGACAAGACGAAGGTTTTCCGTCAAGGGTGCTCGAAGAGGTTTCGAAAGTTTTGCTGAAGGGGTTGGGGGAACGGCAGTTCGGGTGGCACAAAAGAGACCACTCAGACCTCTTGTCATATCTTCATAAAAATTCAAACATACATAAAAAAACGGTGTGACGTACTGGTGGTGTTTGGGGCGCCCAACAAATTGGTACAGTTATGTAAAATGGTCCGTGTAGCGAAAAAAAAAAAACAATCTTCCTGCGGAACCAAGCGCGGGATGCACCAATTGCCGTGCGGGAGTGGTTTACTGAATCCCGCTGTCTTGCGGAAAAGGGTACATGGGGCAGACCGGAAGATGTGTTAGTCACAGATTTCGCGAGCATGAGCGCCTCCGTACTCTCAACACCTTCGGACCACCTGGTCGTCCATTGCAGCAGGTGCAACTGCTCCCTTCTACCTAATTGCAGCAAGCTTTTGGTGCGTTTAAAGAGCAGAGGGCCAGGAAAGTTTTGGAGGCTTTTGAAATTAAAACAGGGGGGGAGAACTTCTTTTTTTTTTTTTCTTTTTTATTGAACCTGCCTTGTTCGCGTGTTTTAGATGTGCGTTGTTGACGAGCGTGTTTTCGAGATTTGTTCATTCATCTTTGTTTTGTGTTTTGCTTTAATTTTTTATTATCGAAGTGGGTTGCGCACGGGCCATCTGGGAGTGTTCTTCTTTTTGTGTGTGTGTGTGTTTTCTTTGTCTACTAGGTCACAATAAATCGATCAGTTCCGAGTAAGCGCTAGTCTGCGATTCTCGCTTCTTGTGCGCTTTAATCTCCACCATGAATCACTACCAGATGGCCCAACTTTCCACCCCTCTGCACCCTTCTCCACTGTAAGCTGCCAGGGAATGGCTGCCTTCGGGAAAAGAAAAAGGAAGCGCGACAGAAAGGGGAAAACACTGGAGAACCTGGGGAAGGATTTTCCGTGGATCGGCCTTTGATAAAAGATATAAAGCACATATTAGAAGCGGAAAATAATAACCTCGGTTATTCATCTTTTGTTTTAGTGTTATTTTACATTAGAGTGAGCAAAAAGTAAAATAAATCAAACTGTTTCAATTAAATATATTTATTTTATTAAAATCAAATTTATTTGATTTAGATAAGATTTATATGATTTAAATCACTTCAGCTAGAAATTAGTGTCTTTTTTGTCACTAGACATCCTTTTTTTTAATGGTTTCCTAATTTATAAATGTTCCTTGCTTGGTCATTTCTTGCTTTATATACAAAATAAATTCCCACAGAAAGCATAAAATAAAGAACAGACGGCAAATAGGATATACTTTTTAGATTGTTCAGGGAAAAAGATTTCGGCTTAAATGATTATAGTCGAATCGGTGCTAGTTAAATCACGACTGAAGACATATTGATTTTCTTTTTTATTGTCCACCCTGCTCTACATCTAAGTTGCTGCAGTGTGTAGCGTTGACAGAAAACGCTGACCCAGAACTGCAGCAGACGTCGCAGAAATGACAACACAACCTGTACTAAAATGTTTTGTTTGTTTTCGCTTTCTTTCAGATGTAACAGCTGGTGCAGGAGAATCAACAACCAGGTAAATATACATTTTGCACTCAGGGAAAATTGTAACCCTTGGCAAAAACACATTGAAAGTGTATTCTATAATGTAATTAAAAAAATATATATATATATATATATATAGTTTTAAAAGTGTACCTAATATATGTTTCGAGTTTACTAAATGGTATATTAAAATACACATTGAGTGTATTCACCTTAGCGGCTGGACTGGGTTGGTGGCAGAAAAAATATCACATAATGTGCGCAGCGTACGACTAAAGCAAAAAAGTAGATATATTAAAAGTACATTTAATACCGATTTGTATCACAAAAGCTAGAAAATACTCTAATTTTAGTGCATCACTTTTTTGCGAAGGGTAAACATCCCCAATATTACCAAAGGGGCACCAAAGTGCACTTTGAGATCGCCTTTTTATGGCGGAAACTCAATGTATCCGCTCTGAGCACGATAGAAAACCCAAAAGTACAACCATGAATGTCTTTTTTTCCCACATTATTAAAAGCGTGACCAAGCACAGCGACACTCTCTTTCTCAGACATGTCAGAAAAGGAACGTAACGCGATTTGTTACGAAGCATGGCGACACGCCCTTTTCCCAAGATGTATTTCAGAAAATGGGCATAGCGCCCTTTGGTCCCGTTTATTATTTTTTTTATTAAAAAAAAAAAAAGAAATACATCATATGTCACTCATATCGATGTATGAGTGATGTTTAGAGTTCGTGGCGTCACGTTTAACGCTTCTGCGGCCTTACTTGGCGAAATCCAAATTTCGGTTCAGTATCTCTTCAATGTAGAGCTGCGGCGGTTTCTTGAACTTTCGGAATTCCCGAAATTTACTCTCCCCAGCATGCTAGTTATTATCTTTAAATTCAAAATAGCTATTGAGAAAACGGCAAATCAAGGTGATGCCAGAACCAACATTTCAAATTTCTCCGCGCTTTTCACGTTACTTATCGTAAGACTTGTTGGTCAAGCAGGTAGGCTAAAAAACACAGCACGCCGCACTTTTCTTTCCCCCGTTCTGAAGTGAAGCTTCCCCAGAATTTATTTCACACCATCAAACTTCCTGCAATCGTCGGGAAAAGGTTACAACCTGCTCCCGACTGTGCCCAAAAGTGCAACATGTGACGTCACGTTTTTAATGTTCACAATAAAAGCCTCCGGCTAAAAAAAAAAATCAAATCAAATCGGCGAAACAAAATTTGGAAATTTAACAAATTTGCGAAAAGCAGGTATTTTTTACCTATAAATCGGGTTACTAGTTTAGCCGTGTTTATTGACATATTGAACAAATTTCCAGGTGACTCAGCGACTACCAGAATTTAGTGATGTGATTTTTTCAATCGCGCGTAGACGCACCGGCACGGTAGCAAGCTGCTGATTGATGAAGGGCAGTACGAACTGCTCTGGGTTGTTTTAGGTACGAAATCTAACAAAGACCAAATAGTATATTCGACTGAAATAATGATAGAATATAACAATTTAAGCATCCAAATCGATGCTTTTTTTAAGTTATAAAGTTTGTCTGCTGTGTACTGGCATGGACGGCCACGTTTTGCTACTGCCGAGGTTGCGGCGGCCGACGGCCGAGCGCGCGCTCTCGTGACGTGGCCGCGCCGCGCTGAGCTCGGCCGTGCAGCCTCTCCGGAGTTTGCCCGAGAGGGCTCTGCGGCGAGCCACTCCCTGTTACCGGCGGTCGGGCAGCTGCGCCGCCATGGAGAGGGCTCTGTGGGGTGGCGTTTCTTGGAACTACGCCGCGCGCCAGCCAATGGGGGCCTCGTTTCTTGAAACTGTGACTCGCGCCAGCCAATGGGAACCCACCCATCTAATTGCTGCTACAGACGACAGGCTTCGCTTCATTGGGACAGGGGAGTTTAAGTGCCGTTTGGCGCGGCTTCAAAAGCTGATAACGCCGGTTCGCTCCATGGGACAGTTAATACTCTCGCATTAAAAGCGATAGCTGAAGCACGTTCGCGCACCTCGGGATCCTCACGTCGTCGTGTAAGCGCCTCCGCGCTGCCGTATACCTCGGGATCCTCACGATAGCGTGTACGCACGGCACGGGTGGCCTCTCGTTGAAGGTCAGTGTGGGCGCGACGCCGGACGCGAAAGCCAGCCGTTCCCTCCGCGCTCGCTCCTGGGATGGAGTACGGCCTTGGCGCGGCGGCGCTGCGGCAATGACGATGCAAGCGAAGGCGCTCGTTTTCCCGGTGTTGTTGAGCGGTGAAAAGAGGGAGTAATGCTGATGTTCAGCGATGAACGGAGAGGGGGACGCATGCGGTGCGACGACGAGGCTCTTTTCTGTTCGCCGCGGGCGCGGGCAATGGGAACACCCGACTTCTCCCTTGCGCCTTGAGGGCAGAGAAAGGTCTTTTCTTCTCCGCTGCGACGACAGACAACAAACGCCGACACTGAAATCTCCGCAAAGCCATCGGCTTAAAGCAATCCCACTGAACTCGTTCAGGTTGCATTGACTTGCATTTACTGCTCTAGCTAATTCAGATTTAACTTATTGTAATAACTAAGCGAGAGTCGGCATAAAAAACAAACATATAGAGAAGTTCACAACAGCTTCATCGCAATACTCAAGTGCCCATGATAAATCTCGAATGCGAAAGAGATATCGTCAGAATATAGCCCGTGTGTAACGTCCCGCTCTGGAAAACAGCTTTCCCTTAGCACGCGGGTGAATTACGGCGAAGATATGTGCAACGCTTACTACGCGATTGTCGCTTCACTGCAGTGCACCCCTGCGCGGTGACAAGCGCACTCGACGAGGCTAGCGTAAGAAATATTGCGAAACTTCAGAGTTCTGTCAATGTTTGATACAGATATCAGGTCTAATATGATGTTATTTGGTGCGACAACAGAGTTTTGGGAATTCGCACAAGCTTACCCTAACAATCCGGCAGTGTAGCGGAGCCTAATTTATATTATTTACGTATATACAGTAATAATTATAAGTTTTGGCGCAATGTTGGCGCCAATTCTTCACATATTGACAAAATGTAGCAATATGTAGCGGGTATAAGGGCTTTGGCGCATCAGTGACATCAATGAAAAAATTAGTCAAAACAGGGGACCTTCGGAAACACTTTGTCTCCGATTTGCTTTAAAATTGCCTAAAGCACACCAACAAACATCGCTAAACACAAGTATTGGGCCAAAAATTCTTTTCGTAAATGTATTAAATTTTTAACTCACCTCCCCCCCCCCCCCCCTTTTTTTTTTCAAACTGAATTTTTATTGGCAACAATGAAAAAAATGACCTCAACAGATTACGAGAAGTTTGATGGCATCAAGTGAATGCCTTGCAAACTCAAAACAAATGCCTGGCATACTCCGTTTCCTAGACTGTCTGCTCGACCCGCAAGCCCACCTGCAAGTGACGTCGCGCCACTGAAAAGCGCGGGTAGATTTGAACGTTGGTTTTGGCATCGTCTTCATTTGCCAGTTTCACAAATGCGATTCTGAATTTCGCGAGACTAAATAGCATGCCAGAAAGAATAAAGGCTGAATATTCAGAAAACATGGTTAGTGTACGTAGCTCCAAAAGTTGCTTTATGCCCTAGCGTTTCCGTACAAACCGAAAAGTAAGCCTATCTTTCCCCATTCTTTTGCACGCCTTTCCAGCTGCCAACCCAGGGCACCACACACCAAGCATGGACCTAAACTCCCGGCCGACTGGCAGGAAGCGAAGCCAGCTGGGAACGATCCACAGTCTTGCAGAAGCTCCAAGCTGAAGAACGCCAGCAACAGCGGCCAACGTGTTGCGAGCCGACCGGCCCCACCGTCAAACTATATTCAAACTGTACATATACCCACCGTTTGAGAAAGTTTCGGATGCAGTAGAGGTCGTCGCTAGTCGCATGTGAGCTCACGAAGGGCACGTAGGAATGTCCCGTCTACGATATTTTGTCTGTCGTCAGCATATAACTCGGCGTATGTTTGCGTGTTTGTCTCCACACGTGAACCATCCCCGAGAGTTGTGATCTTACGGCTGGTTTCCACACTTGCGTTTGGCTGCAGCTCAGCGTGCTGGGGTGAGTTTTTAAGCCTTTGGCGACTGCTTATGACCAGCTTCAAAAAGGGGCTTAAAAACCGTGTAGCACAGTTAGTTGCAACCAAATGCGAGTGCGGAAACCAGCCTTTAAAGCCTTCGTTAGCAATCACCAAAGTAGGTAAAGTGAGGAATCGGCGTGTTGCCTAAGCTTTACGAATGGTAGCGGTGTAGGCTTCGATGTCATAGTTGAGGCGTGAACACAATCTAGTTGAAGAAACCTGTGTTCTCAAAAGGGTTTTGTTGTGAAAGATGTCCAATAAAGTGGCTCCACAACTTGAGAAAAAAAGAAAGGACAGCACTCTATTGCAGTGTTTTGCATTACAACGGCATGTCGCACAACCCTGGAGCGTCGCACAGACTGCCACGGCACATATATACACAGTCAACACTTTCTCACTTCGCATGCTCCAAAAAAAAAAAAAGAAGAAGCAAGAAGAAACGGTCCCCAAGTACAACACCGCATCTCCAAACCCAGAAATAAAAAAAAAAAAAAGTTTAAAAACAAGTTGGCACATTGCCATCAAAAGCCTCACAAAATGAGAGAGCTGCATGTCTCGCTTACCCTGAAAGTCTTTAAAAAAAAAAAAAAAAAAAAGCCGAAATAAACAAATTTGGACCAAACAATGAATTTTATTTTAATACCCCTTAAAAACACTGTATTCGCTCAAATTAAAAAAAAAAAAAGAAAGCCACCTGCCACTGTTTTGTTTGCAAACTATAACAGCCAAAATGACAAAAAAATGATATCAGTTACGTCCAACATTATTAGATCAACTCAGTTGTGGAACTCTTACGGAGGGGGGTACTCACCTCTCAAGCTGAAGCCCGCCACTCGCTGTTTGAAGCGTCAACTAAAGGCTGCATTCCAAAACTGCGCTCTTCGGATACACTACAGTGAAGCCCCATATAAACGCTGCGCTCCAAAACTTGTGTAACTGTAATTAGCATAGCGGCCGTCCCTCCAAGATATGGCAGTGCTTCAAACGACGAGAGGTGAACCTTGGAAGAGAAAGAGGGTACTGCTCGTGGAAGTGGCATCTATGGGCAGTTCCGTGACTGAGTTGACCTAATAACTATGGTTACGTCGTTTGAGTCACGCTTTTGAAGAACCCAAGAATCACCCACTTACTTTCAATACCTTGGATTGTCCCGTTCGCTATACAACACTAGCCCCCCCACCCCTCCAAAAAAGAACACAATAAAATCAAAAATCACCAGTTGAATGTCCATTTGTCCCCAAATCTCGAGGTAAAATTCTTACATTTCTTCGGAGCCTCGACGGCATTCACACCATCGAAAGCCGAGAGGGGCAGCGGTCGCAAACCCTCCCCGCCAAGCAACCGCCGTATCCATCTCAACTCTTCGTCCATCCGTTTCCCACGATGAAACACTGCATTTTGTGCGTGCCGACGTCCTTACGAAGTGTCTATTTACAAGCACAAATAATAATAATATATCCGTAAGACTCAAAAAAAAAAAAAAAAAATGACACAGTGAATGCAGTTTTTGAGGATCCCGTTTTTCTTGCGGCAGATTCCGGCACGTGGCGTAAAGGCGACCGCTGGAAGTCCGGCCGTCGACACAGGAAGGTCCGCAGTGGCGAAGACGATGTAATCGGTGTTACTTCTGCGCTGGCTTCATATTGAATGTAAAAGAAAGTGGAGACAAAGAGTGCAGCTTCAATATTTACTACGGGCAGAGAGCAACCGCTTCCAACAACAGAGTCTGAACGCAATGCGGAGCGCAAGTTCGTCTGCTTCTTTTGCTAGGGTTGTGGTTTTGTCAGAACGCCGAGCTCCGATTGGCTCCGATTGAAGGACAGTGCACAGACCTCAAGGTAGCTAGCATTGAGGTCTACCCACTATCCTTCAATCAGTGCCAATCAGAGCTTGGCATTCTGAGGTCACCACAATCCCTGCAAAAGAAGCAGACGAACTTGCGCCCCGCATAGGTTAAAGGCCATTCACACACTTGTGTCTGCTCACCACAGAGTTCTTGCGATCTCTCGTGACGAGAGCACACATTGGCAAGTTGGCACCATCTACAAGGTGGCCCTGGAACTGCATCTGACTAGAGTGAGGGCTTTGTGATATTTGTAAGATCAAATATATGTACCATCTATGAGAAATTATTGCTCATAACGTTTTCAACGGTTCTTCGAGCCACAAAAAAAAAGGAAGATGCGCAAAAAAAAGAGGGAATTATACGGAAATGCCATGGCTATCCGATAGATGCTGCCAGTATGTTTTCTCGTCGTAACAGATTTCAAGAGGTTTCAAGGAGCGTGGTCAGAGGCAGTTGCAAGTGTGTGCACCAGACTTTACACCCGGAACCACCAAACAAGCTACGCCTTGAAGCAGCGATACTTCAGCCAGCTCGTTGCTTAAAATCAAGGTTGCTGGTTATCTGAAGCCTTACCTGAAACAGCAAGAAACTATTTTCTACTCTTCAGAAATGTCGAAACCAACTGCGGCAAAGCAAAACGACGTCGCCCAAGCTACGAGGCTCGGAACGTTACGCGACTCCGACTGGTGCGTTCACTGCGTCCCGAAAAGCGATCCGTCGATCTCCGCCCAACAGCGGCGTCCAGGTGTCGTTTGGTCTTGGCGGTGTCATGGCGGCGATGGAGTATGAGGCAGACGCCCGTTCTGCCACGAGTTGCTCTCCGGCTGGGCCGCGACGACGGCGACGCTCTCATTTGCTCGTGTTGTTTCCGGGGCTTCTGGCATCGACCGCAGACGACGTGACGCGTCGTCTTCCGCGACACCGTTTGTTGCCACTTCGGGATCGCTTTTCGTGTGTTGACGGGACACGACGGCTAACGCGCCGGTCGAAGACGCATTCTGGGAGCTGTGCCCGAGAATCTTGACAACATATGAAGTTCCAGAAGTTGAACTTCTTAATCGTAACTATTGCCAACTATGACCCCTCCGCACCGGGCGACCAAACAACGGCGCTCGCGGAATAGTCGGTGACTGGAGTGTCGCTGTCCTAAGCGCAGTTACATCCGATTCGCGTATCTCTACAGTCCAACGCCCTTTCAACGGACCGCTGCAAGATCGGAGGATCTGATGAAAAGTTGTCTCTGAAGCATACTACTACCTTCCAAAGAAAAAACCAAGGTAAGTGCATTAGTTATTTGACTCGGACTCAAATGGTATGCAATTTTTCTTAAAAGAGAGACTGTACAAAGGTAATGCGGGGCAGCCCGGAAAACTTTTATCGGAGTTGCAGAATCTTTGTCTCCAACATTTGCACACTAAAACTCCCCCCTCCCCCTAAACAAAAAAAATATTAGAAAACGCATTTAGTCCATGGTTGCTTTGGAGATTGTCGTTGATAAAATCCCAGAACTAGTAATAAAAGAGATATTTCTTATCAAAACCTCTGTATTGCACGAAACAGTAAAACAGTGAGCAAGTACCCGCTCCTCATCTAAGAATGTTGCCAAAAATGTTGGTGTTCACATCAGCGTAGATGCATGCTTGGTGCCTTGCAATAAGTTTACATTAATATGAACACCTTCACTTTGGCTTATGCGGTCATGTAACAAACAACACATGTAGGATAGGACAGCTTCTAGGTGGACAGGAACGAAAAATCTTCCGCAGTCAAAAAATGGGAGAGCCAAATTTATGACAATCATACTAACTGAAATTAACTTCACTCAATTACCCTGAAACACATATTATGCTGACACGATTCAAGTCCCACATTAAAAGCAGTGCCCAGCGGTGAACAAAAGAAACAAAATACACAAACCCAATTTTTTCACTCACGTTAGAGTAAGTGAGCATTGAGAAGACAACTCAGAGATACCCAAGTCAGAAAAAGTCATTCCTATCGTCACTAGATGGGACAAGCAGACATCCGATTCAAAGAGTTCAGCCACATCCGTCCGTCCATCCATCCATCCATCCATACAAGAACATTCTAGGTTGTTTTCGGCCACAACATTACCCACAGTCTTACCCTTGATGTGAGGCATGGTGCCACGGCCTGTTTTGTTTATGACAGAACGGGTAGAAGAGGAAAACCAGGGTCACTACAGCGGTTTTTGAGACTGTCTTTTTTTGGCACAAACTTGATTCAAAACTACAATCGTCCGTCTGGGCTGAGCTATATCTAGGCCACAGACTTTATAGTTGTAACCAAAAAGCACCAATAAACATCCGCCGGCCTCAAAAATATAAAATAGAATAAAACCAAAAAGCACTAATTTCTGAAAATTTCTGCTTGAAATTTTAATGTTTTTGTCAAAACCGTCTCTCATTAGACATTCGTCAGGCGCATACTCCTACATAAAATCAAGCATCCTGCCAGTTTCGAATCAGGGAAATCGCCGATTTTTGAAGGAGAGGGGCATGAGAGTTAGGCAAGTTCGTAACGAATTATTGTTACAATGTCTCTGTCTTGTTCAGGTCAGAGCAGGACAACAATGTTCGAAACAGCCCCACTGGTCGTTATAAGTTGAATCTTGCAAAAGAAGCGAGAGCAGCTTGCCTTCCTTGTGGCGGAAAAATTTTGCTTGAGAACAATAACATTTTTGTCATCGCACAGAGCATAAGAATAGCGGCATAGAAAAAACGAAAAGCTCCAAAAAGCTCTTGTTGATTACGTATTTGAATTCATTGTTTGTGGTTTCGTGTCTACTGTCGCATTACGACAAGCACAAAGCAATACGAGCATCATAAAAATTGAAAATTAAATTTGAACTCTTCGATTTTCAAGAGTTGTTCACTGAAAATCACCGTCTTCACTGTCCATACGCCAAAATTCTCCAATTACTAAAAAAAAAATGTAAATGCTGCTTTCTAAAAAATAAAAAAGCAAGCCGCTTCAACTGCGCGCACGTTCCCGTAACGCTTTAAACGCCAACAGCTGGTGCGTCCGTACGTTTCCCAGCGCTGCCTGCAACGCCTCTACGACCACTGTTTGGCGTCCTACTCCGCCCATGCACCTAAATGGGTCCCGAAGTGGCAACAAATGACATCAGAAAAGCCGGAGTGTCAAGTCGTCGGATGTCGCGGTCCTGGCAGTCAGGCACAAATGTAAAAAGAAAAGCGCGAAAAAAAGCGAGCGTCGCCGTCGTCGCGGCGATTTAACTTGTGGCTGTTGAAGCTTCCGCGGACCGTCCAGCTAGAGAGCAACCTGCAGCTGAACGTTCGTCTGCCATGTCCATTTTCTGGGGCAAGGTAAACTCGCTGGTTGAAGGCGCGCTCTGGACGTAGCGGTTCCGTCGCAATGCTCGAGAGACGCTCACCGTGGCACGTGATCAGTTGGGGGCCTTCCAGGTGTAGAGCGACAGAGCGCTCTTGGCGAGTGCCGCCAGGCCCCAGCCCGAACCACCAGTCTCCAGGGGCGCCAGGTCGAGCACGATGCCGTCGGAGGCGAGCTGGTGGATGCGCTTGCCGGACGCCACATCCCAGATGAGTACCTGGGGGGCAGCCGCGTTGCTAGACGTGAGCGTGCGCCCGACGGCAACCACCACACGAGGAGGCGTCGTCCCTCAAGTCTCTGAATAATCTATGCTTCCGAGTGACGGCACTTCGGCCATTTCGGTGTTTAAAGGGAAGCTAAAGAGGCCTTTGAATGAAAAAAAAAAAAAAAAAAAGAACTGCGACCGTTTTAATTAAGGAACCTTAAAAATGATGTGTCCTAAGTTTTCTTGCGATCTTATTAGTAAGAGCGTCGTAATCGTCGATTAAAATTTCGACGTAGCCACTTTGTTACTGCGCGCCGAGCGCGGGAGAACAGAGAGAACTATCAAAAGGGACTTTGTCGGCAGGGTCAGACGACCCTTGCTCGCCGCTAAGCTGGCTCCAGGATGCCAACGACGATGATGCCACATGCCCGGCAGCAGTCGCTGCACATAGTTTTCTAAATAAATGCGGCTGACGTTTACTTCTGCTTAAGTTAAGTGCGATAACTGAATACTTGGGACAAAAATCTGTATAAGTCTGTCTGCTCCGACATAAGTGCTTCATCCTTCGAGGTCGTGTGTCGAATGTCACCCAACGGAGAAATATTCCCATGGCAGTGCGATCGGCGGGCAGTCCAACCTGCCCGGCGATCTCATTTCCACTTTGCGGTCGATTGTCGCACGTGCTCCGACAATTTTGACTACCGTTTGGAGCGTAAGCATGATACCTTTGAATTTTTAGCTTTATGCGTAATGGCATAAGTAATGACGCTTTTTTTCTACTTTCTTTTTCTTTTGAACAAGCGGAACTTTGCACACCTCGATTATTCTGGCCGATTTTTTCCTCCAATCACTTTCTGCGGAAAATATGTTAGCGATTCGAGTGATGGCAAAGGCGATTCTGGCGTAGAAAACGACCCTGAAGGGGAGTCTGGAAGTTTATTTTTATTTTTTTTTGCAGATGCTTTGAGGATGAATTTTAGTTATGACAACTCAGTAATTGTATTGTTTTTAGAGCAAAATAATTGTGACCTGCAGCACCAACAAGGCAAAAAGTCGCACGACCCAAAAGATTAATATCATGATTGCTTGTGAGATGAAGTCTTTGAAATCATCTAAAATGCTTTACCATTTTCCATAAATGCTAACACAGTCCGCGGCAGAATTAAAACGACGTCACCCAATCTTCCTGAAGCTGTATCTAAAGCTTAGGAAGTCGCATTTTTGAATAGTAACTATTGCCGGTTTTGCCTGCTCTTCAGTAGGCATCAAAATGGCAGCGTCCAATAGATAATCGGTGAATAGAGTGCCAATACTCCAAGCATAGCATATTTAGTCGTCCTAACAGATTACGTGGTTGAGTTCGCTGGATCGTTATGACGGAGGCTAAAGTACACCACAGTGAAATATCCAAGAGAAAAGTTTGAAAATGTTTCCCACCAAGCTCTTGCAAACAAAAATTCCGTTCGCACGAAATCATGGGGTCATGTCATCTGTTCACGTAGTGTTGGGTCATACTGCGTTGCATCACACGATCATGTCGTGTGATATCAAGCCATCTGACTGTGTCACCGTGTCACGTGGCATCTGATCATCTGAACATGTCGTGCGATGTCAAGTCGTTTGAACGTCTCACGTGACATCACTGCACCACGTGGCACGCAATGTCACGTGGTCAAAGGTTAAACAAGATCACGTGATCTCAAATGCACGCTCCGTTCATGATGTGACATCTCTTCTCGAAATTGCCCCGGAAGAAAACGACAGATTCTCGGTTAAAAGGTGCAAACAAAAGTTGCCTATGGCAGCTATGGTATGTTTCCAAGAACACTATAGCTATGGTATGTTTCCAAGAACACTTAGTTGCAAAATACGGCGGCTAAGTGACCAGGAGTATCGCAGAAGCACATCTGCAACATGAGCTTGCAAGGACTTGAAATGACACAGCGTAGCAGCGTGGATGCTGCACTCATTGTCGCAGAGGAAAAGCCGAACGAACACCAGGGAACAAAAACAAAACTTTCCTACAAATATACAAGCATGCCCCCCCCCCCCCCCCCCCTTCTTCTTTCCCCTATTGCAGTCGAAAGTCACAAATGGCAGCCCAATAACGCCTCTTCAAATTGCTTCGTAGCAAGGGTAACCATATATTTCAGTTGTTGTCAGTTTGCTCAATCTACGTGAATTTTTAATAGCGGCAACATAATTTTGAAATAGTAACTGTTACAGAACTAAGTTCCGAGCTACTTCCGAAAATGTCACCTACCTTACGAGTTACTTCAAAAGTGTTAACCGAGTTACAGTAACTAAATCTTCAATGTAGCTTCGTAACTATTTATTGTATAAATTTCGTGCAATGGCTGCACTCGTGTAATTAACTGCACTCCTAACTCTAAAAAAAAAAGTAAGAAAAATAATAAAATAATTAAATAATACCCACGTATAGGCGACACCTGCAGCTTTACAAGGATGGAGTTGCCATCTCGTTTGCAATACCAGCACTAGACGACATTCCATCTACTACTTACACCAGATAGTGCACATAACCCTAGTTTTACCTCTTTCTATCTCGTCAATTAGCAGCTTCTCTTAAAAATGCTTTCCAGCTACCACTGCAAAGAAAGCCAAAATGACCCTAGTAGCCACTCTAACCACTTCAATTTGTTTACAATTCCTATTTGCTCCACAACTTTCCCAAACAATGCCCCATGCTGCACTTGTTTAGCAAGACTTCTTTTCTCCCAATGTTAACTTCGGTAAAAAATAACGAGTGAACAACAAGCACAAGTGGGATGCTGCTCGCTGTTTGCCTCAATTCAAGCCTTCCTTGCATGTGAAAGAGCTTCTCTGCATTGGTGAGGTGAGGTGTTTTGTTTTTACATGTGAATAGTTGCAATTAGTAAAAGCAAATATATACAGTAAAACCTCGTTATAACAAAATGGGATATAACAAACTAATGGATATAACAAAGCAACCATAATTCCCCTTGCTTGCTAATAGTGGGAAGAAATGGACATTGGCTATAACAAACTAATGGTTATAATGAAATAATTACGACTGCTCCTTCAACTTTGTTATAACGAGGTTTTACTGTATATAGAAAGTCCTTCACCCATCCCCCCTCACCCATCAAAAAAAAAAAGTGGCGATTACAAGCGTGAATACGATTGCTATACTGAAACTGTACCTAATTGCAGTAACTAAACTACTATATATTTAATTAGTAGTTATGTTAGTTTGCTATGCAGATGCGGGGTTGTCCGTACCATCATGGAATGCAGTGACCAGACCAGCTGAGTTTGGGCGGGGAAGTCCCCTGAGGGTTTCTTCAGCTCATTTTATAACTTTAGAGTGGGTAGAGAGCCAACATTCAACAGAGGGTCAACTCATTCCATGGGGAGCTTTTGCAGTTTAATGGAGGGCACCTCCTGCAAGTGCGCGTGCGCATGTGCCGCCTCGTCGAGTGGCAAGGGGGTAAGCGGGCGGAGAAGAGCAGACGTCTGCAGACGATCTGACGCTTTTGTCGCCCCCTCGCAGCTCGCTCTGCAGACAGGGCCCACAAACCACGTGGCTCCACAGAGAGTGGCCAGTGGGCCACTCTCTGTAACAGAGGCTCTACAAGAGTGGGCCGATGCAGCAGTGCCATCTCACAGCGTCGACGTACGCTTACCGCCTTGTAAGACTCGTCGCCCGCAATGACCCAGAAATTGGACACATCCTCGGGGTCGACGCAAAGGCAGGACCGGGAGAGCTGCACCTGGGTGGGGCCCCCGCTGAACGACTGCACCACGTGGAAGGAGCCCGACGAGTCGTCCGGGCAGGCGGGGAACGACAGGTTGCACACCTGCAAAAGCAACAGACCACGCACACGTTTTAACGCGGAACGCATCATGCGACTGGCTCGAGAGCCAATCAATGAGCTACACTTTGAGCGAGGGTCCTCAAACTTTTTGATCTCAAGAAACCCCCCTCTGCACTAAATAGCAGAGGAGGAACCCTGTCTAGTCTCGGCATTAGTGTAATAAAACGGTAGAAGAGACCACTTAGCTCATAAAACAATAGTGCACATACCAGGGAGTGCTTGGCTCATAGTTGTGCATCAATGAATGTCTCAGATCTGCTAAAACAGTACTTAAGGGGGGACACTACCCAATAGGGTTAACTTTTTAACCTATGGCTTAATATGAATGAAATTTAGTGTATATTGCAAGGCAGAATGCAGTGCAAAGTTTCATCAGTGTACATGAGTTGTAAAATAACTTGTAGTCATTTTTATCAGGAACACACAGACTTTGTTTAGGAAAACTATCGTTTGGAAACTAATGTAATACCAAACATTTTTCTACTCTAGATCTGCAGCAGAATGCCTAGAGAGTGCAGCTGGGAAAAGAAAATTTCTAAAAAGGAATTTACTTCATGCTAACATCGCAGTGAAAAATCAAATAAATTGTTTTCCCTTTTATGAAAAGCACAAGATCTTAACATCTTTTATAAAAGACATCCACAAAGTCAAAAAACAATTCCATAGTTGCACTGCCCATAAAATTCCACTTAGGAAAAACAATAAGCGAGTCTTTCCTTTTGTCCCATTAACAAACGATAGTTTTCCTAAAATGAAATTTATGCCAAAATGTGGAACGGAGAAAAATGTGTTCAAAGTGTTCCAACCCCTACCTTTTCTTTAGCTTCAATGGACCGAAAATAATTTATAAAAAATTAACTATGCGGTGTAAACTAATGAAACTTTCTGAAAATAGTCTCCAGGTGCTGGTGGATGTAAATATGACATTTTTCAAAATCAACTTTTTTTGCAGAAAAATTTTTTTCTGGGCAGTGTCCCCCCTTAAACTGGAAGAACACTTCACTCAGGGGTACAGGAACGGTCGAGGAAATGCGAGAGCTCTGGGAACCCCCGAGGATGCTCAAAAGTGCCCCGGGGTTCCGAGGAACCCCGTTTGAGACACCATGAAGAGTGCGGGTTCTCGAACTGGGTTCCTAAGAACTGAGGGGTTCCCCAGGGCGCATCTGGAAATTCCCCAAGCTCCCAAATTTCCTCGGCCATCCCTTCCCCAAGAAAGGTGTTCTTCCATTTCCACGCTATTTTAGAGGATACGAGTCACCCATTGATGCATAACTACGTGGCAAACATTCTCTAATATGTACGTTATTGCTTGCTAGCTCTATAGGCTTCTGTGCTGCTTCACTGCATCAATGCCTAAATCAGAAGGTGTTCTCTGGCTGCCATCCCAGAGAAATAGGCATTCCTTGAGAACAAAATACCGGAGAACCCCCGACTTAGTGTCAGCACCCTGTTCCCCGATTTGCTTGCTTGGTGCAGGGCGGTCGCAATCGGCGACCATTACGATTCGAAAGTGCAACCTCCTCAATTTTAGATATGCGGTCAAGAAGCTCAGGCGACACTGTCTTGCTCTGTCGCAGACTTTTTAGGGGCGAAGCTCCTTAGGGTCTAGCCTTGTCCGTCCGCTGTCCGTGCTCACATCGATCTTGCTGGTGCTTGTGCTCTAGAGCTCACAAGCTCATGCAGGGGAAAAAGAAAAAAAAAAAAAAAGATGAAAAAAAAAAAGAAAAAATGTTTGCACAGTTGACAGGATTCGGACCTGTGAGGGGAGACCCCAATGGATTTCTAGTCCATCACCTTAACCACTCGGCCACGACTGTGGGATGAGTAGGGGGCTCTGAGATGTGGTAGTAACTCAAGAGCTGGGGATGTCATGGATGAAACATTGGATGTAGCCGCTCAACGTCTATACAGGAGAGGGCGCTGCGGTCAAATGCGTATATAATCGCGTTAAACTTTGCATGCATTGGCTCAACGTTTATAGACGAGAGGGCGCTGCGGTCAAATGCTCAAATGCGTATATATAACCACGTTCCATACCACACATTCTCTTTCTGACATGGATGAAAATGAACGAAAGGCTCGGCATGCTGCGGCCCAGTGTCTACGCAGACAAGCACCACCAGAGCTTCGCCCCAATCAACATCATCCACCACGTGGAGATGCGGTCAATTTTTTAACGTTCCTGAAGGACGGAAAACTGTTTCCCGCGATTTCAAATGAAGCTTTAGATGACTGGCAACCTTAGTTTTAAGCATCAAGATGGCTGAAGTGTCCTTACACTGAGGCGTAGCTTGTTTTGCGGCTCTAGCCAGCTCCTAGCCATTTCCTCTAAAGGATGGCACACACACTTGCGTATGAGTGTCAAACGACTGCATACCAACCGCTCATGATCACATCGAGGCGGTAAAGACAGGGGCAGAATGAGGCACAAAGTCTGTGCTCCCGAAAGGAACAAAGAGAAAAATGTAAAGCCCTTCCGCTTCACGTAAAGATGTAGAACCAGTGACGCTGTTATCTTTATGACGTCTAGGACAATGTCTATGACGACCTCAAGGACAACTTTGAGGATGACGTCAAGAACAAACTCAAGGATGACTTCTCGGACGACCTCGAGGACGACATCTAGAATGACTTCTAGAACGACCTCGAGGACGACCTCAAGGACGACTTCTAGGATGACCTCGAGGACGACGCCTAGGACCACCTCTCGGATGACCTCGAAGACGACTTCTAGGATGACCTCAGGGACGGCTTCTAGGTGGACATCTAGGACGACTTCAAGGACGACTTCTAGGACGACCTCTCGGACGACTTCTAGGATGACCTCGAGGACAACAACATCTAGAACGACTTCAAGGACACCCTCGAGGATGACGCCTAGAGTATGATGCCTAGAATGACCTCTCGGACGACTTCTAGAACGACCTCGAGGACGATGCCTAGAGGTGATAACTAGGGATCGAGACCTCACTATCTCATAATGCCAAGGAAGGCTGACTCATGCTGGTTGCCTCCTCTTTTTCTTTTATTTATTCATACTTGACCCCCCTTTTTGTTTTTATTTATCCATACTTGCCACAACCAATGGGGAGTTTTCTGTCGACATTTGTTTGTCCACGGACACAATAGTGGGGGAACTAGCCCTTAACAGCTTTGCTGTAAAGAGTGGTAGAAGAGCAGAGAAAGAAAGCAGACGAAAGGTTAGGCGGGTTCGTCTTTCCACAATGAGTTGATATTGTTCGAGTGCTAGTAGTCAACTTCATTTATTTTTATACAGTGCGCGATGCCGGTGTTTCCTTGCAAACTAAGCTAAAATAGGGCTTGATACAAACCTTAAAGATGATGTTTTGCTGCTTTTACAGCGGAGCTGCCAAGAGCTAGTTTCCCCAGAATCGTGTCCGTCAACAAACAAATGATGACACTAAACTCTGGACAGCTACTGCCATCTATAAGCAACGGCGGCAACCAGACAACTGGCTTGCCGAATGTCTGGTTGTCGCCGTCGCTCATAGATGGTGGCAATCTCTCCAGCCTTTCCACTCTGGCTTGGCGACTTGCGGCCGGCCATTACTTCATTCCCACCATAGTACAGCTTCACTGGTCTTCCTTTTTCATTAAACTGGAAGGGCTGAAAGTTTTTATTTTGTGCAAATAAAGGTGTCGCCAGCGATATGGGCCACTGGGACCACCCACTGAGACCGCCGACGTCCACTTCGACGCCCCGCCGTTCCGAAATGGCCCAAATGGATCGGACCTTTCTCTCTAGACTATCATATAAACTCCATGAATCAAATACGAGAGAACAAACTGGCACGCCGGCGCCGTCCATTGAGGAGCCCTGCCACATTTCTGATCTGCGTGCAACTAGGCTGAAGGTTTTGCAGTATTTGCAATATCAAATCTATGCACTATCTTGGAGAAATAAACTCTTTTGACAATGTCAGAATTATTTCGAGCGCATGGTGACAAAATAATGCCTAAAATATATTCAGATCGGAAATGTTCCAGGGCAATCAGACGGCGCCAATGTGTCCTCTTGCCATAAACAATCACAAACGGTTGCAATACAGTCAATAACACCAAAATGCAAATGCATGAGCCAGCCTTTAGTCTTACATGCACATATAAAGAGACCCTCGTGTTTTGAGTAAGGTTTATGGTGTATTGCCGTGGGACCATTCATAAGAAACTACCATCGTAACAGCGCATCTTGCCGAACAGAGATGTATTTACCTAAGCAGGGTTGACTTACCATACTTCACAAATTATAGTATGCGGACTGTACACGTTAGAAAGGTGAAACTTCAAGCGGTGCCCAACTATGCGAGGATTTGTTTTTGAAAGATGGTTCGTTGTGATGAGACGTCATGAATGTTGTGAATCACACCTGATGTTAATAGTAGTAGTACTGGCTTTTATAGCACACAAGCTTCCTTGTGAGCTAATAAAGCCGGCATTTTTCAAGGCCTGCTACGCATGAGAAGTTTTGACGCGACAACTAGGCTTTGGGTACGGACTAGAACTCAGAAGATGCTCCACCTTGAACACAAGCCTTCTGCTTTTGTACCACCAAAGCCTGGTGATGGGGATTGAGAGCATGCTGCAGGAGGGGCATCTACATCTACCTGTCACCGACTGCGAGGGAAAATCATGTTTTTTTCAATCAAAATTTGCCTCTGCAGACTATGCAAATGTCGATAAACTTAGACAAGACAGTATGTATGACGATCACTCATAAACGACAGCCGTTAGAGCATATGTATATGCTGCAAGGAAAAGCCTTAAGCCGATTGTCAGAGTTTAGATACCTTGGTCTTACATTGGCCTCAAACCTAAGTTGGACTCCGCACGTTAGCAATATAATCGGAAAAGCTAACAAAAGATTAGGGTACATCAGGCGCACTCTTAAACTCGCTTCCCCAGAAACAAAACTCACAGCATACAAGATGCTAATAAGGCCTTTATTAGAATACGCATGTGAAGTCTGGGACCCGCATGTTAAATATCTTATATCAAATCTGGAGCAAGTTCAACGGCGTGCGTTACGTTTTGTTTTTTCTAGCTATAGACGGCTGGACTCTGTGTCACCTCTTTATAAAAGGGCAAATCTACCCCTCCTTCAGGTGCGGAGGAAGCAGAAGCGGCTTAACCTGTTTTATAACATAATGAATAACTTGGTTCTAGTAAATAAGCAACAGTATATTAAGGAGAGCATGTCGCGTATAACCCGCAGCAAGCATGCTCGGTATGTGGAAGAGCGGAAGTTTTCTAAGGACTGTTTTAGGTATTCGTTCTTCTTACAAACAGCGCGAGACTGGAACAAGCTACCCGCACATGTTGTTACCGCTGAAACTCGAGAAGAGTTTAGTTCCCTTATTTCAGAGATTTCTGACAGCAGTACCTAGAGTTGTCATTTCATCATTGTGTTAAATTCGTGTTATTAATCTGTGCATTTTGAGCGTGTGTATTTTTTTGTGTTGTGAAAAATCCACTCCTATCTTGGTCCTGTGTAGGACCGATAGTATTTCAAATAAATAAATAAAAAAAATGCGCTGGGTGTGGGCTATACACAGGAAAATACGATAATCTCTTGCTACTGCAATCCCTCTTGATGCTGGAAGAAAAGCACTAAATGTCTGCAAAAAGATTTTAAAAAAAAACGACACTGACCTTATGAGTGACGAAAGGTGTTTCTGGCGTCGGCCTGCAGGTCATCAACACATGGCGCGTGTTGGGCTCGAAACTCACGGACGTGCAGTTTCCTGAAACAACACAGAACCGTCAACTCTTGGGCTAGGTAGAACAACCACGCAGAGTGCTGCGATTGACAGCGGCAGCTGTTGCGTTGTTCAAAGATGTGCGTTAAGTCGAGGTGCTTTAGGAGCTTTGTTTTACAGCGAAGCTGTTTATGGCTAGGGTTCCGTGGATTTTTTGTGTGCAGTGACTAAAAACTCTACGCTTGCACCGCCGCACGTGCACACCCTTCTTGTATACAACATTCGAAATAAATGACCCAAATAAAGCGTTGACGAAAGCGCATGCAAGAAGCCATTTGCTCTAGGCTTTTGCTTTAGAGCAGTTACTGCTGCAGACGGCGGCACCGCACATGCACGCCTTCCCTATATAAAAGATTCTAAACAAATAACCAAAATAAAACATTGATGAATGCGTGTGCAAGATGCAATTTGTTTTAGGCTTTTGCTTTAGGACAGTTACTGCTGCAGACGCCGGCATGTGCCGCACGTGGAGCACCATTCACTGCATTCTCCGTGATGCTTGGGTAATTTAGCAAAAAGGTCTATTCAGTAGATTAGTTATCAATAGGCACCATTTTCAAGATCAGTAGGCTCTCAGGTAGATAATAAAGGTAACTCAAAGATTTGCCGCTGTGCGACCCGCGCTGGCCATGTCTACGCTCGCACCGCCCTGACTTTGTCGTCGTTCCAAGCGTTTGCGTGCCTAGTTCCCTTTCCTTCCGCTCTCCCGGGCTGGCGGAGATGTGCTTTGCGATATGTGTGAAAGGCGCCTACTTGCTGCCTCTCAAGCTCGACAGTCGGGGTGCTGCGCACTATTTGCTGTTCTTGTGCCACTGCGGCCCTCTGTCTACTCCTCTAGGCCCAGCATGCTTGCCATTCCTGCTCCTCGGACGGAAAGCGAATATTGGGTGGTCCGGCGAACATCTCAAAGGGGGAGAGAACCGAGCGAGCGTTGCACTGGGCCATGCCTTTTTTGCAGATGCACCGAAGAACCTTCCAGAACCCCGGAGCGGCAGAGGTTTCATTGCTGCTGCTGTGTGCGGGGGGGCGGCAGGGAGAAGGGCAAGAAAGGGAGGGGGCGATAGCGCGTCTCGCTATAGATGACATAGTTGTGTGAAGGACAACGGCAATGGAAAGAAGGTGATAGCGTAACAGGAATGGGGCAGTGCGCCCCGCGATCGTGTGGGATTTTGCGTACAAACGTCGCCGGATTTCGCTGGAAAGGGGCGCAAACAGCTGCTGCTGCACACAAAAGCGTATGTCTGACAACCGAAAAAGGAAGCAAATGCGTCACCTTCCAGGTCGAGTGGATGCGACTGGAACTCTGTCTCGGATCTCTTCTCGAAGAATGTGCACAACTGGAACTGTGACACCAGCAGCCCCGACGGAGACCTGGAAGGAAACACGCTTAGAGCATTGACACTCGCCTCCCCGGTTGTTCTGAAAGGGCAGCCATTTTCTTGCCTAGTGGAGAGATGGTGCAATAAACCATTTTACCATTGCCGCATTACCTAGCGGCACCGATTACAAACTATGCACAACCCCTGGGCATGGTGGCGTGCGCTGCTGCCAACAGCCTTTACGGTGTGTACGGTGGCGCGAGCCAGTGCACTGTATGAACTGTAGTGCCCACAGCAAGCCTTTCGAGATGCGCTTTTTTTGCTGCGCAGCGTCGTACAAGCAGAAAGGCATGAAGGGCAGCTTTGAAAACAAGATGAGATTTCCTGTCTTGCTGTCAAAATGTAGCTGTCAAACCAGAAATCCACCTATGTAAACCACCGTCCATCAAGTGTATGCTCGTGAGCTACCTAATCGCGCCAAGTATCACCCTTTCTCCGGTCGGACAATTGCTCGTTTGTGCTAATCATTCTCAGATCCGATCATACTTTCACAACCTATACAGCTACACATTTAGCTGCTATCGTGAATAACTTGCTCGCTGACTTGACGTGACACACGACAGACGCTACAACACACAAATTCGGTTATGGGGAAATAGACGTAGATTCGCCTTTTTATCTTTCGCAAGCAAGAGATGTTCAGGGATTGCATTCGAGGCCTGTTCATACGTACGGCACAGCGCTAATAAGTGCTATTCGGTGCAGAAAACGTTGCCGGTTTTAGCATTGGTGCAGCACTTCCTAATACAGTGCTGATATGGCAGCAGTGAATGGTTTCAGTGGCGCCGTCTCATGTTTCCGACCCGAGAAGTCGCAAGGATGTATCGCAGGATTTCGGTAACTTGTTCCCATTTTAGACCAACATGTTCAATGGCAGGCACAAAGAACATTGTCAAAGCACCGAGCTTGCCCCAATACCGATTAAAACAATGGTTTTCAATCATTAATGTTTCAGAAACCCTTTGTAGATTGGCAAAAGTGATGGTGTAGCCCATCCACTGGGGCAAAGGGGGAGGGGTATGCAATAATTACAATGTAAAAAATAAATGGAGAGAACTTAATGCATGAAAACTAACTTTGAACCTCATAAACAGAGACTAATAAACCCTGCTCACTTGGTGCATTTGGTTCAGCCTGTTTATCATTGTAAAACAGTCAACATCAATTAAAATTATTATTTTTTGTCGGCTCACGTGACAGTTGAGGGCTTTGGGGACGTTAAGAAGGCCTTCAGGGACCCCAAAGGGTTTGCAGACCCTCATTTGAGAACCACTGGTGTAAACCTTGTCTCTCAAAAACCTCAGTCCCGACAGCAGACAAAATCAAACGCGGCGTCAAGAGTGCTTCTATTGCCAGCATGAGATTAATCTTGCTCCAACAAGCTACCACACGGTATTGCAAGACTTCTGAAGAGGAATCTGCAGCAGTGGAAGGATGAAATCGAATGCTGAATCAGTACAAACTTCAACTTTACACATACATAACTGCATGTGTGAACGAGCCTTTAAGGCCCGTTCACACACGCACCACAGTGCTCCCTCGGTGCTATCAGTGCCATTCGAGCGCCCCACCTGTCTTCGGAGGAGGGGTGGCCCTTGGGCACGTGCTGCATGGCCACCACAGGCCGATACCGGTCGGTGCCCGGTAGACTGCAGACTGGACCGCTGGTCACCCGCAGGTCGTACACCGAGACCGTGCCGTTGCGCAGGCCGGCGAAAAACCGGTTCGAGTTCTCCCTGTCCCAGGCACAGCTCCAGGCTTCCACGGGCTGCGGGTACCTGGGAGATCGAAGAGTGTGCACCGACTTACTCCCCAAAAATGTTGCGTTGGCTAAGGGAGCGTGATGTACCTGGGAGATCGAAAAGTGTGCACAAAATTACTCCCCAAAAATGTTGCGTTGGCTAAGGAAGCGTGATATACATTGGCTGTTTCACTGAACACCAGCCAAACCTTTTTCTGGGCCTTTATAGTGGCTAGGGGCACTAAAGCAGTTTCTGGTTTCATCTTTTTACAACGAAGCTGCACACCTCTACCAGCCAAGGAAATTTTCGTGTCATTGGCATTGTAGGCAAAAAAACTCGCGGCGAACAATTGAAGGCAAAACAGCATATCTCTTTTGAAATCAGGCATACATCATACAGCTCAGTATCCGTTTCAATAAAGAAAACCACAAAACAGGCATCCAAACCAGATGATGGATGATAAGGCGCGTGTGAACAATAGGAGCACCCTCCCACACGGTCTGGTAAAGATGAGGATCGCAGCTGTTTCGAAGGGGGTTGACGTCATTCGAAGCTCTCATGTGAAGTACAAACCGCATAATGGATTATAACAGTGCCTGCGAACAATGCGAAGCACGTTTCTTCTCCCCGCGTGTGTTTTTGTGTCGGCATTCTCACGGAAAAAAATACTTCAGAAGATTGAAGCAAAAAGTACAAACACCATGCATACAACATACAGCACAACATTCCTTTCAATAAAGAATAAGCACAACACAAGCATCCTAACCATATAATGTATGACAAGGAGCTCTTAAACCAATGCGAAGCACGTAGTGCTCACCGCATACGTTCCAGGTGAAGATTACTGTTGCCCAAGCTGCCGCGGCGACGGCAGCTTGCGACGTAGGGAGTGACGTCACTAGCCTTTCATATATAAAAGAAGAACCCGCCTATACACCGTTTCACCTTACGTCCAGACGCAGCGGATGCTACAGTAAAGACCACTTACAACGTAACCGCTTATAGTGCAGGACCGGGTATAACACGGCTTTTTTAAACCACCGGTTCGCCTCCCATAGAACTCCATGTATTTACATACCGCTTAAAATGCAGGCGGGCGAAGGGAAATACCGGTTACAGTGCGGTTTTCGGAACAGCGCCCACTAACCGGCGCAGTGAGCACGCTTCCCTGTGCGACACTAGATAACGGCGCGAGCCGCAAGGCACTCGCGGGGCAAGGAGGTTGCTCGAAGAAGCGAAGAGAGAGGCTTCAGTTGCCATTGCGACGGAGGGACGCACGCACGTGTCGTTCACGTCCGTGCGTCCCTCCGCTGCGTTGGAAAAAAACAACCGCAACAACAGACCAATCGCAGGTCGAGGAGAAGTGTTCGCGCGCGTTGCATGCTGGTCGCGGGCCTGCTGCTTCTATCCGAGAACATGGCGTCGGTTGTGATCGTCGACGTAGACAGCCTGGTGGATGCTCATCGTTCCGCGTAAAAGCGCTATCCTTGACTGTGAATTTTCGTTGTGTGTCGCTGTGATAACCCAGCACGTACTAGAAGGGAAGATCCACCTACTTGTGCGGTGATGTTGTGGCGGCACTCTCAAGACGGCAGACACGCCCGTGTCGTCGTGTTTGTTTACTTCGACTACAGTGGTGCTTTCTAAGCATTTGTGTTTTCGAACATCGCCCGGATTTCTTATTTGGAGCATTCCATGCCTGTGCTCAAGTTGAAGGTATTACTGGTGCGTACCGTATAAAGGATGCGAATTTTCACGCGTTTTCATCGCCGGAAAAAAGTGATTAGGGTTAGCAATCCTGAATACTCACAATGTCCGTCCGCAACCCGCGACGCCGTTAAAAGGCTGCACCAGGCAAAAGTCGCTCATTTCTTTCAAAATGTGTGACACACTTAAGAGAGAAGTGTACTAGTCTGGTGAAATATAGACTTTCCTCAAACTAAGCTTTATTTTTCATCTAACATAAAATAAATTCTATTACAAAGGTAAGTTGTCTGATGGCATGTATTTTGGCCTGAAAAATTGATGATTTGGCAATAGCGCGGTACCGCTTATAGTGCGGATTTTTGCGACTCCCGCGACATACGTTATGTGCGGTCTACATTGTACCAGCAATTTCAGCCAATCTCGTTCTGGGGACGTGGCCCGTTATATGCTTTCCGCACGTCGCTGTGCCCCCCTCTCTAAGGTGACGTGGCATTCACACGGCCTCCGATTGGCTCCAATGGCTCATAACATCCGCTGCACTTAAACACAAGATGAAACGAATTATAGCAACTGATTTCATTGTTGCTGCAGCACCGCGATGAACAGGCCACGCACAGTTAGGACTTCCGAGGAGCAGCGTGAATACTAGGAGTGGCAAAGGGAAAAGAAACGGCAATACGATCAGCGACGGCGTGCTGCGACTGGTGGCGGCATTCCGTATAGTGCAGCAGGCAATTGTTGCAGGTGATACCGCAGCTTCGCTGACAAACCACCTTCACTGTGTAAAGTGGAGCCCCAACTTTTTCATGGCTTCAAAAGTCCTGTTGGCACTAACACTAACGTAACACTGACTGTGCGCCCACTCAACGCCGTGCACAGTCTAGCTAGAACATTACAAAGTCTACGACCCACAAATGATTTGTATAATAAGCGTCAAACTTATACATAAAATGAGCAATCAAACATATGCCTTTCCCTTCTTTGTGCCAAGAAAGGGTGTGAGCCTTTGACTATACCTTTTACAGTTGAACCTAGGTTTAACGAAGTCACCGGGACCTGCTAATTATTTCGTGAAAGCGGGAACTTCGTAAAATCGAGAAAAACAATTTTCGGGCATAGGCTGTGCGGGGAATCCGAATTTGTTCGTTAAATTGGGAAATTCGTAAAATCGGGCTTTGTTATATCGAGGTTCAACTGCACAGCACTTTTTCATTCATACCAGTTATCAGTATGGGGAACGTGTGACAAGAAAAGGAATGAAACTTTTCAATCTGAGAAGGACACTTTTGTTCATATAAGACGTCTAAGGTGGTGATGGCCGCGTAGAAAAGGAATGTGAAGAGGTAAGAAGCAAAACGAGGCGACAATTTTTAGTCATTGCAACGCATCTGGATCGCGCTAGAGCCACAAAAAGATGGACTTAAAGATGTAGCATTTTAGCATACCCAGAGCCGTATATGTAGAGAGTTTGGCCATTCAATGGGAAGTATAGGAGACAAATCAGGTGGTGCCATTGGCCGAAAGCGGGCTGGGCGTGTTTTAGGGAGTCTTCATAAATTCTAATGTGGCCAAACAGAAGCAGGAAATAATACCCTGGCGGTGGTCGCGAGAAACAATTTTAATACGTTTGTCGGGGTAACTCTTGATGAGTGAAAATATGCTGCGCGTGATGTTTCCATCACACTCATCCGAAATCATGCTGGAAGAGTGTGACTAGCGGAACGGTCGACATAATCCGTATGCCAGGCGCCAAGGGCCGGGAATCTGCCGTCCGAGCGGTCTTACTCTGTCCGAGCAAAACAGAGTTCGAGTGGCACATTTGTTTCTTACATCTTTCTGCATGATCATAATCAAAACATCACGTGCACCCTATTTTCAACCATGAAGGGTTACTACATTTAACTCTTCCGTGCTTCTTAAAACCATAGGCCAAGGGAGCATGTCAAGCCCTCTTTTTGCGTCTGGTGCATGCCTTGGCTCTGACCGCGCCTTCCATTGACAAAACTCTCTCTATACATGGCTCTGAGCATACTTAGTGCGAATCTGTTAACATTGAAAAGCGATTGATGCATAACTTTTTGTTTTTCCCTTAGAATCAAGGAGCTCTCATCATAACCACTAATGCGGTGGGAAGCGTGCGTTTGTGGCCCCAACCCAAGCAGCACATTTCGGTGTGTGCAAATACACTCTTGAAGTAAAATATGAAAAAGTGCCGATGTCGCACTCGATGCCAACGGTGTCATGCGGCGTTCTTCATTAAAGAACTGCCTTTTTCTTTGGTATATCCCAAAAGGCATTCTAAATGCGCAGCATTTATAGATTCCTATAGATTTATAGATGACGGCAGGACATCACAGTGCTACATGACATCACAGTGTCATGTGACATCACGGTGTTATTTAACATCCTAGGACACCACACTGTCATTTGACATCACGTGACGATGTGATATGATGTCAGTGTCATGCGACATCACGGTGTCATATAACATCCCATGACACCACCCTGTCATTTGGCATCACATGACCAGGTGACATGATGCCAGTGCCACGTGACATCATAGTGTCATATGACATCACATGACACCACACTGTCATTTGACATCACATGACCATGTGATATGCCAGTGTCATGCGACATCACAGTGTCATATGACATCTCATGACCCTGCACTGTCATTTGACATCACATGACCATGTCATGACATCCTATGACACTACACTGTCATTTGACAACATCACATGATCACGTGGCACGGCGTCAGTGTCATGTCACGCCACGCTGTCACGTGACGTCGTCAAATCAAATTTGGGGGTGCCAACGACAAGCATCTGGCACGCCCCAGCGGAGGACTGAGGATTAATTTGGACCACCTGCGGATCTTTTGACGTGCAACCAAAAGCTCGGTTACACGGCCCCTCCTCCGCAATAAGCCTCCGTCAGATTGCGGGCACCTCGGCTGGGATTCGAACCTGCCACATGGGGATCCACGAGGCCAGCGCTCTCACCTCAGAGCCACCGAGGACACGTGACGTCGTCACAGTATTCTCGTGATGAAGTCACGGCATCTTTGAAAATGCAGACGCGTAGCACAAACATTGTGATGTCATCGGTACGACGTCACCGTCAAGGCATTCTACGGACACCAAAGCGCTGTGAGCTGGCCTTGTGAATTGGACAGTTCAAAACTGTCGTCAGCCTCCCCACACTCCGTGTCATGTCAAGTCTGATTGCAGTCAATGCCACGAACCGACGCAGCCAACTGAGTGGCACCAAAAGCATGTCGTCACGGCATTCGCAGTCTTTGTGCATCTTCTATCACCGCGGCTAAGCCAGTCATGCACAGAAAAAAAGGCGGGATTACGGAGCATTCGCTGTGCATGATTAGTTAGTTCGGGACAGCAGATGCACAAAAACAACGAGCATCGCGACGACGCACTTTAGGCACCACTTGATCGGATGCATCACGTCGTAGCGTTGGCTGCAGCCATACTTGGAGTGGGCCGGAGTGCAGATGCAACGGCACAAGTGAGAGGGGGGCGGAGGAGGCAGGGCTCACGTCTGGACAATGCTGTTGGTGAGGACGCTGGTGAGCTTGACAGACTTGTCCAGGGAGGCGCTGAGCACCAGCGCGTCACTGTTGTGGAAGGCAATGTCCCGGATCTCCCCCTGGTGTGTCAGGATGAACTCGGAAGACTTGAAGTCCAACAGCGACACCTGTGCCAAATAGCGTGGTTGGAGCAACTTTCAAAATAAACTTCTTCGACGGGACTTTCTTTCGCAACTAGGCAACCGGCACGACCAAAGGTGTTGCCATGATGAGCCTTCCACGACTGGCCAGACGCTCACTACGCCAGGTTTACACAAATGTGGTTGTAGTGTATCGAATCGAGCAGGGACTGATCGCACGCACCCTGTCTCCCTACCCCGTGAGGTCACATGACCCCTGTGAGGTCACGTGACCCCTGTGAGGTCATGTGACCGCGGGGGTCATGCGACCCCCGCGAGATCACGTGACCCCCGTGAAATCACGTGACGTCACGAGGGTCACGTGACCTCACGGTTACGCTGACAGCGACGCCGCTCAAAGGGAGGAGTAGCAGGCAGGATGAGGACATGAGGAGGAGGGAGGAGGGGTATACCCTCCCCTCCTCTTCCTCAAGAGCTCCGCTCTAAATCAGTGTTACAGGAAGTTGTAAGCGTCTTTCTTTTTTTTTTTTTTTTTTAATAAACAATCAATGATTAATTTGAAACATTTTTTGGCTAGTTTTTCAGCAATCCGAGAAGCTTGATAAGCGTGACCGCAAATCTCGATGCTCATTTGGTCAATGGGGAGGTCACATGACCAAAGCTAAGGGTAGGCGAGCAGGAGCTAGACCGCCTGTGCACACTGAGGGAGGGAAGCTCATGAGTTTGGAAGGCTCTGGAAGATTGCCAGGTTTATCAGCCCGATTAGCGGTAGTGTTGTTTTATTCTGCAAAACAACTGTCAAGCCTGTGCAACTTTTCTTAGTAACTAGAGGCATGCCTACTCCCCCAACTTAGCCTCTCCGAGTGCCGTGCGACGCGATTGCAGAGTGCTCCCACCTTGCGGATGCCATATCCCCTGAAGAGCCCGCTCTGGCTCTGTGAAGCCACCAGCATGCCCAGAATGGCAGAGGTGGCCAGGTTGCGGCAGGAGGTCGACGACCCCAGGTGCAGGACCCGGTCCAATGTGAAGCCTCCCGGAGAACTCCGCTGGGACTGCGACCTAGAGCTGCCCTCTCCTAGCCAGGCGGGGGCCTCGCACCTGACCAGAGAGAGTCACACGTACCCACGCTCAGGTCTCATCGTACGGATGATATGGATTGCTCATGATGACACTAACCAGGGTGCCTTTTTTTAGGCTTCGCAAGATTTATTTAAAGAAAAGTCGTGACTGCTACATTAATGCAGTACGTAAAGGCCAGTTATACAGTCGGGGGAATGTAAAAGAGAGTTTTAGAGTAAAGTAAGCAATTTTAGCGTTGCACAAGAGAGTTTCAGATGGTGTTTCTCTGCTGCGACGCAGAAGCCCAAGCATCTCGCGGTTGCAACGCCACCGAGATGCAGTAACAATTTTTATTTAACACATGAAATGCTGCGACTTAAGGAAAAAAAACAAAACAAGTTTTTTGGTCCTGAGTAACACTGTAATTTGTTTAAATAGGAAAATGCGACGAAAGCGGTCAACTGGTCGTGTCCGTTTGCATCGCCTCGGCAAGAAAGGTCTCAAATACTGACCTTTGCACATTGTACCTTTGCCGAGAAACATTCACGCGTTGCAAGCAGGAAGCTACCAGCAATCGTTGCCTACCTCCCATACCATTTGTGACGTGCACCTCCCGTAGGAGTGCAATGTAGTCCTGTGTCGAAAATCGCAGTTGCGAGGATACCGCTGACGTAGCGCTGATGCCGTTGCCTAAGCGGCCGCAGCCATGGTCCTCAGAGCCGCTATTTTTTAACTGTGCTCGTCTAGGCTTTTTCCAACTTCTCATCACGAATCCTTCTTGGAGGAGCGCAAGACTCTGCGTACGCATGCTATTTCAGAAAAATAGCCTAAGCTAAAAAAGTGCACGCAAAGTGCCAATCGCAATTAACATTTGGTGCAGTGGCAACAACACTATTCTTTGTGTACATAAAGCTTTTGCGTACGCTATTCTAAAACTCCCTAATATAGGAGGCCAATTGTCACGATAAGTCGTTTCTAGCTGAAATATGTTAATTATGATTTGAATTAATGAAGATAAACATGTGGTTCCAATTAGAAACCTGCTGAGTGTCATCGAAAAGCACTACGTCAGTCAATTTTAGAAAGACTTGGTAGTGCAAATAATGCAAATGATGCGACAGCAATGGGCACACTTTTAACTGCCAGCCTTACGCCTGTTGCACAAAATAACTTTAGCACTTCTAACCCACTCTAAGTGTTTCCAAAATCAACTAATTTAATGATTTTCGGCGACGCTCAGCAAGTTTCTAATTAAAACTGTATGTTTATCTTCCCTAATTAAAAAAGTGAATCCACAAATATTATTTAATTAAATGACTTATCATGACGATTAGCCCCTATATTATGTCCCCCTGGCCGTTTAACTCACCTGCCACACTGGTGTAGCGATCCCGGCTTCTTAAAAAATAGTCTCCAAAACAAAAACCCCATATATCTCGTGAAAAGGATCTCTCATGACAGAAATAGCTCATAAAAAGATGACCTATGACAGAGGTATCTCATGACACAGACTGCTCATGACATGAACGTTTCATGACACAGGCATCTCATGACGCAAATTTCGTGACAGATATTTAATTATATGCAATACCCTTAACAACAAACACCACGTTGCATGTGCATGCATCGCTCGCAAGAACAAGTCATGAACAGAGTTCCGTGTTTTTGGTTTATACCAGTGTTGCGGAGTTGCCACTCTGGAGTTGGAATGATTCCGGAATCATTCCGCATTTTCGCGACCCCGGAATGGAATGGGAATGGAATGACGGTAACGATGAGAGGAATGGAATGGGAATGGATTTAGATACCTTTTGCCCGGAATGGAATGGGAATGGAATGGGCCTGGTTCTTTATTATTATATTTTTTGAGAGGGGGGGGGGGGGGCTACGTTCAGCTAAACGGAGCCGGTCAGTGAGTCAGTTGCTCTGCTAGCAATACAAAAAACAAGCGTCAGAGCAAAGACCAAAGGGGGGGGGGGGGGGGGAGGGGGTATCGGTGGCGCCTTTCAGCGCAACAAGAAACCAAGCACCAAGCGAAGGAAGCGGCAAAGAAAGAAACCGCCATGCGCGGCTCCTCATCGTGCTTCTTGTATTACATTTTTTTTTTTTTTTTTGCATGGAGAATGCACGCGCGCGCACAGACTGAAATCTGGGAGCGGGGGGCGACTCATAACTCGCAGAGCTCTGATAACTTGACGCTGACTCGCACGCCGCCACAGAAAGATGATCAGTTATTGTTTTCTTGTAGTTCGAGGAGCGCTGTTTAGCGGGTGGCCAACGGGAGGCACTCACTTGATCGAACGACGTTTTAGCGAACGCCCACCTTTCATAGAACGACACTTTAGAATAGTTGGACGCCGCGAAGCGGCGTTTTTGGGTGGGCCAAGTGAGTTCATATTTTTGTAATGAGCTGCCGCAGACTGTCGACCGCGAAGCAGCGTAAAGCGCAGCGCGATGGATGGGTTAACGCGCGCCCCCGTTATTCGCTAAAACGTCCATTCGCTCAAATGTCGCCGTTTGCTAAAATGTCATTCGCTCTTGTGATATGGACCCGTGGCCAACCTTGCTGCCTACCACGTTCATTCGCGCGCACTCCTTTGAAGTGCGAAAAAAGCGAGACTCACTTCTCACTTCCCCTCTTGCGCTTTGCTCCGACGCTTGTTTTTTTATACTGCATTTTTACGTGTAAGTCTACCTTTTACTTGGTGTTTGTTCCAATGCTTGTTTTTTGTGTTATAGGTTTTACATTCAAGCGGGTTGGGGTTACAAACAAGCTAGCGGATGCCCGCTCATTTCCTTTGACTTTAGTCTCTGCATACTTTGTTTCACCTGCGATGGTCCGCTGCGGACGCTTCGCTCCAGGCAATCCAGCACCGTGAGCTTAGTAAAAGTAGTACTTCCCGGAATGGGGGTGCCCATTCCGCAACACTGGTTTATACAGGGCGTTTTTTGGGGGGGCTTTACAGATTTTAAAAGTTGTGAAAGCCACACTAATGCGGTCTGTGCAAGTGAGTTATACGGCCAGGGGGATATAGGTAATAAAGGGAGCTAACTGTCACAATAATTTGGATAATCAACTAACATATGTTAATTAACCTTTTAATTAGGTGAAAATAAAAACATATGATTCCAATTAGAAATCTGCTGAGTGTCATTGAAAACCACTAAATCAGTCACTTAAAGAAAGAGTTTGAGTGCACTAAAGTCACCACTGATGCAACAGAAGCAAAGCTCGTGGTGAGAAAATGCAGGTGGCAAGAGACAAAAAAGACTGCGCAGGCACGTTATTTCGCCGATATCCTCGCTCCGGTGCAAGGCGCGTTATTGCACCGGTAGCCTCACTCCGGTGCAAGGCACGTTATTGCACCAGTAGCCTCACTCCAGTGCAAGGCATGTTATTGCACCAATAGCCTCGCTCTGGTGCAAGGCGCGTTATTGCGCCGGTAGCCTCGCTCCGGCGCAAGGCGCGTTATTGCGCTGGTAGCCTCGCTCCGGTGCAAGGCGCGTTATTGCACCAGTAGCCTCACTCCGGTGCAAAGCACGTTATTGCGCCGGTAGCCTCACTCCGCTGCAAAGCACGTTATTGCGCCGGTAGCCTCACTCCGGTGCAAGGCACGTTATTGCACCGGTAGCCTCACTCCGGTGCAAGGCGCGTTATTGCACCGGTAGCCTCATTCCGGTGCAAGGTAGGTTATTGCACCGGTAGCCTCATTCCTGCTGCACGGGTGGCAAATTTAACACCCCACCGAGTTTCTTACGTGCTGTGAAGTTTTCTGAAATTGACAGAGTTGGGGTTTTTCAATGACGCTCAGCAAGTTTCTAAATGGAATCTTATGTTTATTTTCACTAATTAAAAAGTTAATTAACATATCTTAGTTAATTAGTCAACTTACTGTGATGGTTAGCCTACTGCATTACGTCCCCCAGGTCCTATAACTCACCTGCACAAACCCCGTTAGTGTAGCTTTCACGGCTTTTTTAAAACAAATCTCTAAAGCCTAAAGAAAGCACCCTGTATATGCCGACAAACCTCGCAAAGATAGCCCCTGAGCTGGTTTTATCAGTATCAAGAAAAGCCGAAAAACCCTAAATAGGAATTGTCCTTGACTAAGAAAAATCCAAGTTTCACTAGAAGAAATCTTTGCCTGTAAATTGGTTTTATGCTGACCCGGTACACAGCCCAAACCAAACTGTCCGGGAGGCAACTTCTTTTTTTGGGAAACTACCACCCTTTGTCTCATTTTCTTCTCTTATTAGTACCGGGACATTTTCCAAGTATTTAGGTCTCGCATTCGTTCCATGGCACTTGAGAAGTCGTTTCATGCCAAATCAAAATCTTTTCTTTATCATGGCTCAAGTGTCTAATATTATTTATTTTCATTTTCCATAATTTATGGTGGTTGTTGCTGTCACTACAATTACATTTTATTGTTGTTTTCACAGCTAACATGCACTATTGCTCCCTGTCACATTGTGCCTTTTCAAATTTTGCCTGCTTTAAAGAGTGACAAATGGTCCACTCTAAAGGCAGTTAAGATGTCATTAATTAATTTGTCCATTAATTCAAACAGACAAGCTATAAAAAGGGCTCCAGCTTTGTTGACTGCACACTCTTTCATCCTTCGCATCCTTCGTTACAAGAAAAGCTTTTTGGAATTTCGTTAGTTTTTGCTTTCGATTAGTAAATCCCATGTCACATGTGAAGAGACTCTCCAAACTGTTCATGAGCAGATCGGACTAAATCAACGGGTGAATTTGTGGTTCACGCGGAGGCTTTATCTAAGGCCACTGAATAGGCTACACTTTTTAAAATCACTGTCGGCAGTCATCCGAATTCTTGTCTGAATTCGGGAGAAACTCATTTATGTCCTCCAGAAACAATAAGACAGGAAAGTGGGTTTTCGAACCGTAAAGCTGTGCCGATTGCGCCCACTCTGCGCTAGGCAACAAAATCGCGACGCCCACAAGGTGGTGGGGAATGGGGTGCCGATTCATTGAAGTGTAGCAGATCTAGTAGCTCTAGTTTCCTCAGAATGAGCGCGTCTCGGGGACCACCTACCTCATCTTCTTCTGGACTTCCTTGAGATCCATGAGCTCGGCCTTGAGCTTCTCGTAGTCGCAGTGGAGCAGCTTGTATTTCTGGTTGAGCAACACCACCTCCACTTCGGAGCGCTTGCGCTTCTCGCGCTCCACGTTGAGCTCCGTCACCACGCGGTCCAACTCTGTCGTGTCGAGGACCTGCGACGACACACCACCAGCCGATTACAAAGGGCAATGGAAGCTGCGACAACCAATCACGAGGAGAGCAGAACCAGCGGCAACCAATCACCTATACAAATCCTGCAACCACCAATCACAAAACCAGGGACAACAAAACACAAGTGGAACACAACTTGCAACAAAATCACAAGTAAAACACAACTTGCAACAACCAATCACCAACCAGTCGTGAGGGTAACAGAACCTCCAACAACCAATCACGAGTGAAACAACTTGCAACAATTAGTCACGAAGCAGTGACAGCTAATCACAACTAGAGCAGAACCTGAGACAACCGATCACGAGGGGGACAGAACCAGTAACAACCAATACCAAACCAGTGACAACAAAACATGAGTGGAACACAACTTGCAACAACCAATCACAAATCAATTACGAGTGGAACAAAACCTGCAACCAATTAACCACTGACAAGGGGAGCAGAGCCTGCAACAACTATACTCCGTCTCACCTTATGATGTACCGCAGAAAAGGCTAGAGCCGCGAGCTCCTTGGTCTAGTGCGCATCTCGGCGGCACAAGCTCTCGTGCATTAAGGGCGGCTGCATATACTATGAGCTCGCGCTTCTAGCCTTCGCTGCGGTACAACATAAGCTGAAACAGGGTATAGTCACAAACTTGCAACCAATCCCGATAATACGGAACCTGCAACAAGCAATCATGAGAAAAACAGGACCTGTGACATCCAATCAACAATCCGTTGCCTTCAGAATGCCTCCAGCCAACCACACAGAGGAACAGAAGCAAGACCCCACCCAGAGTAACATCTACTAAGATGTGTTCGTACGTAGGACTGTCAGAGTCTTACACACAAACGTGAAAGAAATAGAATTGGCTTAAACTCAAATTACATTTTTAAGGGCGATAGAAAATGCAAAAGGTCCAGTTCTGGAAACCATAATTCAGGGGGAAGGTGAGACAACAAGACTGGCGAACCTAGTAATTTAAATCCACCGCATCGCTACACTGTAAAAGATGTCACCATGCTGTTGCACCGTAATTGTTCACCGTACCAAGTTTACTGATTTCCGAGTTTCCCCACTAACGAGGTGTGGGGAGGTCGTGAAATATAGGGGGAAAAAGTGGCAAACACCCGAAACTCACCTTGAGCTTTTGGGCATAAATGTGACGAATGTCCGCCTTTTTGGCAGCTGCATTACACTGGGGACACTTGGCTGGCTGACCCTTGAGCCACTTCTCGATGCAGCTGCAAGAAAACGCACCGCAACCGCCTTAGTCCGAGATAACCCTCTTGATGAAAACTGTGTGCGTCATTTGAGCATTATGCTTCGCACAACACGATGCGATCAAGCTTGAGGTGTCTACCCTATTATACCTGAAGGTAAACGTTCGGCAGCCCTCTGCCTGGTTAGGAATAGATCCATAGCTGCCTGCACTGAGGCCAACTGCAGACCCATGCTGTAATCATAGCTTACTTAGTGTTAACGGCTCTAGTCTCCACTATAGCTATCGCATGCCGTTTTTCGTCAAGATATATTTGTTCCAAAGGCCCATAAAAATGTGGATAACACTCTGGGGCTCCTAGATAGTGAGAAACAGCCATTTTAAAAAAATACTTCGGAAGGCACAACTTTGCTGACCCCTTCAATCCGCCTGCAATGTGTGCCGAGTCCACTCCAAAGTGCGGTCGGACCGGAGCGCCACCTACTTTTGTCCGTAAAGGTGTCCGCACTTTAGGGACACAAGGCGGTGCTCCCCGGAGTTTGTCCAGGCTTCGAAGCAAATGGTGCAGACCTGAAATGCAAATGAGCCAATCAAACAGCGGTTTCCTAAACTGGGCTCCGAAGGACCCACGAGCTTAGACCACAGAAAGGTAGCAGCCCGTACCATGAAGGCCCGCGGTGCCATGTCTAGTGATGCAGAAGATGAAGATTTAGATGAAACATCTATGTCTTCAACTGCAGCATCAACCCCTCACCCCCGTCCAAAAGGTCCATTTAAACCGTCATGACATTCAACTGTAAAATGCTCGCAAAGTTTGGGCAGAACCTGGGCGCCACTAAGCCATTCCTATTGCGAAATATCGCGGAAGTGCCCACTTCGTTCAAGCACCCGCTAGTATTAACATTTCCTAAACTTGGGAATTCTCCAAATTATACGTTAAGCGTCCGATTCGACCGCACCAAGTTCTCAGTAGAAGTGGGGCGGGCGATCCCCTCGGTATTTCTTCGTCGGCTAAAGCAGACACCGCTCTTCCATACAATTTTCTTTTTCTTTTTTTCGAGAATAAGTTTTCTTTCTTTTTTTTTTTTGTGAAAAATTGAAATAAGCAATGTAATATACAAAAAAGGATTGAGTAATAGTGGTAGTGCCCCCACCGACAGGAGAGCACATAACAGAACCTCCGAGACCCAGGCACAACCCAGACTTGTGGTCGAGCTTTCTGGTCCCTATAAGGGCACAAGTAACACCCGTGAAATCAAAGGTTAAATTTGGCCGACTAGAAATTTGGCTTCTCTGTGCCTAAAGGCTGGCTCACACACTTGCGTCTGCTTACAACCAAATACATTAACATCTCTTGTGATGTCTTATAACGAGAGAAACCACCGACACGCTGGCGTTATTCATGATGTGGCCCTGGAACTGCATTTCACAAGATTGAAGATCTTTAAATATTTGCGAGATTCAATGTATGCACCATTTTTGAGACGTGGTTGTTTATAACATTCTTGAAAGTTTTTTCAAGCCAATAAATTAAGAGCAATAGGTGAAAAAAAAAAGAAGGAAATATACAGAAATTGCAAGAGTTCCACTCTTTGTAAAAGATTACAAGAAATCGTAAGCAGTCGCAAATGTAATAATTAACTGTCAGGTAAATTTTTTATTATTATTATTGTTTAGTACGATTGAAATGAACGCCTAGACAGTACCCTCAAAATTGGGAACTTTTGAACTCCGTATTTGTGAAGTAAAGAAACAATTTCCCAGAGCCGAATTTGAAGTTCCCGCGTGATCCGCGCCAGTGCAGTGATGTCAAAGATTGGGTCATCCTGCAACTTGAGTTTCTCTCGCACCTCTGAACCGCCCTGACCCGAAGTGCCGTGTTTGCCTGCGTCCCGCGATCAAACACTCTTCTCTGTGCCTGCCGCCTATCGCTGTGAGCAGACGACGCTTCACTTTTGAGTTGAAAGTTTTTTAGGGCCCTTTCAGCAATCTCAAAATTTTTTTTAAACGGTCCGAGGTCGAAGAGAACTTGTAATGGACTTTTGTAAGCGATGCAAGGAGCCACGTCACGCTGGTTCGGCGTGAAAGGCTGCCCCGGCAAAGTCACAACTGAAACTACAGTATACAGACACCAAACCCAGTTGTTTTGACTGTTTGACAATTTCCTTTTCAAAGTCTGAGAGGTCGTTGGGCACCTAAAGAAGAGAACTTCATCCGATTCCTTGATTCACCGATCATCGTCAGTGCTACATGTGCCGAGTGCCGTCATGTTTTCCGAGGGAGGACAAAAAGCCAGGAGGCAACATCACTCCGGGCTTTGATTTTCGGTATTTCAAAAAGAAAGGCCGTTGTGCGTTCGCAATTGCGTTAAAAAACATGTTTTACGAATGCCGTTATTACATACGATAGAAATATCGCCCACAAAGCTTCTAAATTTCATAATTTATGACGTCACAAATAAAAAGAAGTGTGGAGGTGAGAAGAGGAAGAGAAGGTGCCAAAAGTAAAAAGGCTTGTGCATGCATGTAAAAACGTTTTTCAGGTTGTGGTATTTTTTTGTGTGTATATGAATAAAACTTGCATTGCTTTAGATAACAACAGAAAATATGACCTTTGGGCTGTCAGTGCCCCTTTAAGAGGTACAAATAACCATTGTCATATCACATTATATCGGGATAGATCAGGAGAAAATAGGTCAAGTTAGGTAAATCATAATTATGTGCTTATACAAAGTTAGGAGAGCTAGGCTAACCATAATTTTCAGCATATTCAAAAGACTGACAGCCCCCACTTCTGTGCCGAAGAGACGAGACACACTCTTTGGAGAACAAACAAGATGGAGGAGACTGTGTCAAGCAAAAATAGCAAAATGGCTTCCAGAAAGCACCCACCATTCCCTCTTCTTCGGCCACGCTCCGTTCCAGGGCAGGCGGAGCCGGAGGTGCCGTGGGGTCCGGCTGCGGCGGAGTGGAACTCCGGACCTGCTCCTGAGGCTGATCTTCTTCCACGTCGTTATCTACATTCGGCGAGAAACGACCGAAGTTGACTCCTTTAGAACCCCGTTATGACACAAAAGAACTCGGCTGAAAAACCAGCGCCCAGGATGGTCGTGTTTGGAAACACTTATAATACCCTCGTTAAATGGCCCCATTTTACTGCAGTTGCGCTTAACCACAATTGCCATACTTTTGGATGCCCATCAAAGCTGTGCACATGCACTCCTGTCATGTGCGGTGACTGTGGCAAAGCATAACTGCAGTTCAGGATGCCCGTGCAGCGAGGGTACAAGTAAGCTACATTTTGGAGTAAGGACGGTCCAGTCATTTTGGTGCTTGAAATCATTGTTGGCAGTCATCTGAAGAGTTATCTCGAACTGCGGGAAACACTTTTTCATCCCTTTAGAAACGTTAAAACAGACCAGGGCAGAACAAAACCACATCATTAAAGCATCCTGACACTGCCGCACAAGACGCTCGGGAAGTCGCATTTTCGAAATGCAACTGTCGCCAATCGCACGTCCGCTGCACTAGGCAAAAACGTGGCAGCACCCGTGGGACAACCGGGATATTGGATTGTCTGTACTCTAAACGCAGCTCGTCTAGTGGCTCTGGGCACGTCCTTCAAAAACATGGGTTCGACATGAGGAACGTCTCGTAAAAGCCAAAGTCCTACGAACTAAGAGCACCTGAAAACACTGGCAGCTGTTTTTCTATCCGTCGACTGAACCGTCGCATGTGGAATTGCAGCCAACACAAAACGGTGAATATTCGTGACATTCTTCATTGGCGCACTCTAATTAATATAAAGTGACATCAAGCAACGTGCCCATGTGACGTCACGTGTGTCAAGTAATGACGCCGAACATTGTCGACACCAGTCCAATATTGTCAATGACACGGTGAAGTCGCACGACACCGCGACTTCGCACTGTTAGCACCCGTACGAAACAAACCGCTGAAATACCCGAGTTTCAAAATATAAACGTAAGCCGGTAAAATGTCGGTAGATTTTTCTAATAAAAGCAAGAAAGTCCACAGCCTACGGATAACCTGTAGTGGCTCCAAACACGTGACCTTCGACACTTTCTACACTGGCCGGGTGTTCCCGAGCGCTAGTCGGGGGTGAAATATATTCATATATATAAACAAATAAATGCAATGGAACTTTCCACAAAGATGTCTTGAGGTGGAGCACTTATCGTATAATTTTTCACGAGTGTGGGCTTCTGAGTAAAGAGTCAAGCCTAAAACAAACTCTTGTCATTCCTATGCACAGAAGGAAAATGGAAACAAACCATCTGGTCAATGCTGCTATTCATCAGATGGTTGGATCTCCTAGATCCACTTTCAGTTGTTCATCTCAAGAAAGTTTCTATGCTTTCGTTTCGTGTTGCAGTCATCTAGGAGCAGCAGCGTGAACTAGACGGTTAGTTAACGCTTTCCTCCATGTGCATTGGACTAACGAGATTTTAGTTGGTTCTAATATTTTTGACACGAAACTACGCTCGCAAAATCTGGGTATCATAAGTGCACCACCTAGACGTGCCTTTGTAAAAAGCTTCACAGCACTCTATTCATTCGTTTATGTATACAAATTCTTTTATGCTTCAGTAGCACTCGGAAGCACCCTGCATTAACCAGCCCACAAAAGCGTCCTAAGACAAGGTGGCCATAATCAAGAAAGTGAAAACAGAGACCCAAGGTGTCATCTGCCGAGAGATCCACGTTGGCGGCATCTGCTTCATCGTGGGCGGTCCACACCTCGACCACGCTCGAGACGTCCAGCTGCTCTGCTTCGGAAAGCACCTGGACCGATGATCCACCCGAATCGTCGTAATCCTCCTGCAGCGGGACAAGATCTGTCTTGATGGAAAAAATGCTCCGCCACGCTACCGTATCTTCCGTACCATAACCCGCAGACTACACACATCTAAAAGTTAAAATTTTACACGGTGTGAAATGTTTAAAAGTGCGGACAATACAAGGGTTTGTTTTTAAGGTCGTCCGTTACGACGTTTCCAACGTGTTCGAAAACAGTGAAGCCTAACGTCGAGAAGCTGTTTGCGGCCCTGCCAGTGACGCTTTCCTCCCGCTCCCCATTCGTCTGCCTGTAAGTGATTCTTCATTAGCCCCATCTTCGGCGTCAGTAAAATGCAGAAGCAAGCAGATGGCTCCATCAATGACGAAACCCATCAAGTACAAGGGGGGATGCATTTGGGACACTTAAAGCCAAGTTTACTCAGTTTTTAAAGAGATAGCTTTACGGGCGACACTTTTCAGAGATTTCGAAGTCTTCGGCTGTCGTCAACGCTATGCAGAAACCCTTCTCTCCCCTCTTGGCACGAGGCCAGGGAAGTCGGGTCTTTTTGTCGGCACGCCACGCAAAAAGGGGGGAGAGCCTAGGCGTCCTACCAGTAACGGTGCGACGAAGGAAGAGTCTTCCTGCTGTCTGCTTCAAACACTTGCTTTAAAACGTTACTGGCGTTATACGAACTCCCACTTTGGCAGCATCCAGTTGCTATGCATAATAATGGATGGTGTTACAAACTTCCACCGCACTTAATCACTTGCTTCACAGATCACCGAGCACTCGCAGCGGTTGTCAGTGGCATCCACAACGCCGGCCACGCCGGCAACGAGAAGTAACCACATCGCACCTCCCTCCTCGAGTATGTGAAGGCATCATTTTGCCAGCATTGCACGACCATGCTACTGCTATCACTTTTACTTCATTGCATGTTGTGGGGAAAAAATATAACTTTTTTTTTTCCTTCAGAGCCGCCTGGCGGCATCTGCCGGGTCTATTTTGGCCACCGAGGAGCCGACTTCGTATTAACTCCGTACGAGGAGTGCTACGTAAAAAATTAGAGTACCAGCCAATGCTCTTTTACGTTATAAACCACCCCGGCCAGTGCAGTCGATCGAAACCTGAAAGAGCTCGAACGATCTACAAAACACTGCCTCCGTAGCATCCGCGCACAAAAGAACACGGCACAAAAGCAGACGAAAGTCACTGACACAAATTCCGGTGTAGACCTCCAGTCGAAAGCAGGGTTGCATCGTGGTCTCGTGCATTATTACTCGTGTGCTATTACGTTACAAAGTAATCGCGACTAATGGTGCTTGGAACACGTCTCCGACTGGTGTTTTTAATGTCCCATTCCGCCCATGCATTGAAAGTGGTCTTGAAGTGGCAACAAATGGCGTCACGAAATCGAGAGCTTTGCGCCGTCGGACGTCGCAATCCCAGTGGAAGTCCCGGCAAAAAGCACGAACAAACGTGAGTGCCGCCATCGTCACAGCATCCCGAATACCGGCCGCCAAAGCTACCGCTGACCGTCAAGCCAGAGAGCGACCCGCAGCAGAACGGACATCTGTCACATCGACCACCGCTGCCACGAAAGAGAAAGGATCACGGCCGACAAAAATGCTACATTTTCGTGACATCGTCGGGCGAAAATTGAGGGAGTTCTTTTTTTGAGACACAGCAAGCGCACCGGCCAAAGATGCATTGCAGGTACCGTGCCACGACCGACAAACCCTGTCATTAGCCATCTTAACGAGGCCCTCACGTCATCGCTGTAGCTCTCCGTCTCGACGAAGTGCATGTCGTTGGAGTCGCTCCCGTCGTCCGAGCCCAGGAAAATGTCCAGGTCGCCGTCCCAGGCGTCGCTCACCGTTGACACGTTGCTCACCGTCGCGTCGCTGTCCGACAACAGGCCGTCCTCGAGGTCACTACCTTCCGTTTCTGTCTCCGCGTCGACGTCCGCATCCACGTCGGACATCTCGGCATCCGAAGACCTGGGCCCGTGGAATCCGACACTTGCTCAGTTACTCCTATTAAAGAGTAACTTAAAATAATAATAACACTCTTTATGCGGAATGCAAGCTCATCGGCATCTTTTGCAGGCGTTGTGGCAACGTCAGAGAGCCGAGCTCTGATTGGCTCTGATTGAAGGATGGTGGGTAAACCTCAAAGCAAGCTGCCTTGAGTTCTACCCACTATCTTTTCAATCGGAGCCAATCAGAGCTTGGCATTCTGCATCATCACAACTTCTGCAGACAAACTTGCGCTCCGCATTGGCTCAGGAGACACACAACAGCACGAAAAGGCAGCAACCCGTACCATGGACGATTGCAGTGTCAAGTCTAGCGATGGCGATTATGCAGTGGTGCATATACAGAAATGTAAATGTCTGAGGTAGAAGGTTGTTGGGTGGAATTTTTGCGGAGCAAAAGTTCGTCTGCTTCTTGCAAAGGGGTTGCGACGATGTCAGAATGACGAGCTTTTATTGGTTGATTGAAAAAAATAGTGGGTAGACCTTGACGCATCTAGCATTGAGGTCTACCCCACTATCAATCAAAGTCAATCAGACCTCGGCGTCGTTCTCACATCATCGCAACTCCTGCGCAAGAAGCGGACGACTTGCTCTCTGCTTCTTGAAGAACTGCGGACTTCAAACCAAGCGGACTTCAAAACATTGGGTTACTTTTTTACAGCTTTAGTTGGGGTATTCCCTCTTTATTACTATATATTTAAGCGCAACAAAAGGCAGCGAGCATGTGCTGGTGGTCAGGCATTCGAAAGACAAGCCCTGCCCTTCTCACCTTGTTAGTGACTATAGTCATTCGCACAAATGCCACATGTACCAAAAACGGAATCAAGGTCATGAGGGGAAAAGTATGTGCTAAGAAAAGCATACAAAATATAAACATGCTGTCCAAGACCTTTCTACTAAAAGCTATTCAAAATGTGTCACACTTCCCACGAGTGTTGCTGACAATTCCATCCAAAGGTAAACCGGTAGCACACTGAGCTTGAGATCCCCAACTCTAAAAGCGTTGCAGGGATGTTACCTTTGGATGGGCCCCATTGACTACTCCTAGCAATACCAAAAAAGAATCCCTTGATCCGATAACAACTCAATTTCGTGCAGCCGAGGGACTGTACAATGTTTCAGATGTTAGTCCATTATTAGACTTGAGCGTGTTGGGATCTAAATTGACTTGCGTGTTTCTTTCGCATTAAGTCAATTTACTCCATTATGTTTACCCAAACTTAAAACCCTTTTCCAAGCGCCACACAACAGGTCGCATTTTATACTCCAAGGCGTGCCAGCTGTCAAATAATATCTCGCCCGCCAAAGATCGTCTGGCTCGCAACTTCAAGCAGATCCGCGCCGCTAAAAAAATAACAAAAAAACTACAAGACGGGAAATTAAAATGAGCGGTAACATTGCCACTAGTGCAGTTCGGTAAACGTGTACAAACATTCATCTTCATGATTAACCTGGTGAAATAATCGGAAAACCACGAGTAAGCATTTAGCAGCTCGACACCGACGAATCGGGAACACAAGACAAGCATATAACGGGTGTAAGGCTTAACGGACTTCACTAAGTGACAATTTACACGAAGAAAACACGCGGCAAAGGTTTACACGGCGCACATTATGCCACCGATGTCTTGGGCATGCGGCAGTCAGCTGTAGTAACGGACCAAAACACGGGCGCTCTGTGTACTCCCTCCACTCCTCCCCCACTTTTTTTTTTTTTTTAGGTTTTTTTTTTTTCATTTTTTGGTTCGATGCGGACGCTCTACTGACAGAAACGCCAAAATAACTCTTGCATTAGACGCTGAACCTCATGTGACATGAAAAAAAGACTGATGATTACAGAATTATCTTCAAAAGTTGCGATCATAGCCCAGCGCCGACGAAAACCATGTCGGCGCGCGTCGTCTTCTCTCAAGCGCTCAAGCACGCAGTCGTACACCGCAAATCGCCACCGATTTCGGTTGGAAAACGTTACCAGTCTCCACCCGTGAATAACGAACCCGTGAAACCTTGCGTCGAAGCGATTTCTTAACAGTCTAGAAAAGCGATCAAACTCGAACCAAGAAGTTGTCCCCGAACACAGTGCCCCCGAATCCCCACTTACCTGTTCCGCAACTGCAGAAGGTACAGCACTAGTCAGCTGTACATGGCGCTCGAGCCTAACTCCTGCACGTAGCCGACGAGATCCTAGTCATAAAGTCTCTCGGAACGCTAATTTACAGGTTACAATCGGCGCGCACCGCTCCGACTGGTCTCGTACAAGCTAGCGCTATGCTTGATGCTCAGATGTAAATATCCAAGCACAGCCCGATCAGAGTTCCCGCAGCTTTACCGTGCGGGAAACTTAACGTGAACGCTCGGTACGACGCGTAGAGTCTTGGAAAGCGACTGGCTCGTATTTTCTCACTTTCTCTACCGTTCGCTAGCGGTGTGCCACGAACTTAGCAACTGAAAACAACTTGGTTTCAACTCGGCGCGTAGGATACCGAACTCAACCAAGCTGCCATGGATCAACGTTGCCAACAGGCTTGAGCTGCTTTGCGTCAAGTTTGGCCGGTTGAACCTGTCAAAAACACAAGGGTTACTGCAACATCAGCGCTTTACCGCTGAAGACAAACATTCGTGCTTCTGAGTGCCGATGTTTGTCAAACGAAAGAAAGATGTTGGACCAAAAGCAAACTTGAAAGCCTTACAACGAGACAACAATAACAGTTTCGGTTTAATCAAACCTGAGCGCAAATTTCTTTGTCTCGTCTTTAGCTGTGCCGGAAAGGTTAAGAAACTGTACTTAATATTCAAAAATTCTGGCCCGTTTCAAACGTATTAGCAATGAGCACAGCCGCACCTACGAGTGCGAGCACTACTTGGGACAGCGCGTGCACCAAAATGTGGGGCTGATGTCACACAGCGATCGACAGATACGTAAATTTTAATGTTGCGTTGCTATGAACAATGCCCTGTGTCAGTCCGGACTTGCGGTGGTGTTAGCATTGATTGCAGATTTTGCAATGTTGCAGTATTATACCATCTCGGGACAACTGTCTTACCTCCTACATGCAAGGGCGAGGATCCAACGGTAAATAGGGCAAATAAAGTGCACCAAGAATGCCCACATAAAACAATAGTAGTCATCAACCCACAAAAAATAACCATGCACAACTGCGCAAGTCTCCCAGCGATCTCTTTCAAATTTACGAAGTCGTATCGCCTTCAAAGGTTGCCATCTGCATAGTGAAATCTTAGACCGATTGAAGGCTGCCAGGCTGGAGAAGACGAGTCCCTCATCGCCTGGGAGGAGCTGAAAACTAGAATTGGACCTAAATTAAAATTGAAACGCTTTAGAGATGCTGCGCTTTGTTACATCTGCGCGCGCTGTGGGCGATGTAGCATACACGGCCGGGTACAGACAATCATCCCCATTCTCCCAGATGGCGGGACCAGCTTTGCCAAGCAGGGTCACCCAAAATTTACTTTATTTTTATTTGTTCTTTCCTGGTGCTCCAGACAGTTTCTGCAGCAGTTTTCGCTGTGCCCCTCCCGTAGCAGGAGTCTCTCAGAACTTGCGAGGCAATTTGGTGGTTGTTTGTGATATTTTTGCACATAAATCTGAGAAGTAACTGCAATGACGTTACTCTTTACAATTACTTTTGAAAAAATAGTAACCCTGTTATAATTACAAGTTATTTTCATTAAGCAGTAACAAGCCACACTTACAAGTTACTAAAAACTAACTAGTTACCGGTAATGCGTTACTAGTTGCTGGCCAAGACTGGGTGTCCATAATCGGTTACTGCCCAAGACTGGAGATTTGAAGCTGTGTTCGCATAATTTTTTTAATCAGACATTGCGTCTCCTATGTGGGGGATATCATCAGTGATAGTACCAAGTTGGGGTGAGTGCCACCTTGGCATCACTGATATGTCTCCTGTATGAATTGACGAAACTAATGAATTGATTGTTATATAAAGCCCGTGTAGCTAGTTTCGTTACAATGACACAAATGTAAAGAAAAAATTAACCATAAAAAAAAATCCGGGACTTTTCACAAATTGTAGTAGAATAACGACTTCTGTAGAATTTGATGCAAATGGTCCAGGTGCGACATCTCCCAAGTATACTCCCACTGTCAGCTGGCAAAGATCAGGCGCAACAAAAGGTTGAAACCAAAGCTTACTTGGTATATAGCTCGTTGATTGTAGAATACTCATCAACAGTGGCTAGGGCAGTAAGGCAATGACTTGTAGAGGAAAGTAGTTTATTTGTGATTCACTGAATCCACAAAGAATGGAGGAGTACAGTAATTGACACCTTTCTTTTTACAACCTCAGGAACACAATTCATCAGGAGCAAAGTGACAAAACAGGGTTAAAATATAAGTAAATCCAAAGAATTTAGGAAAAATCTCTTTTCAAAATGTTGGCACAATAATCTATACATAAGATTCAAGGTGCCTTAATAAACCCCAATGCTCCTCATCCCCACAAAATTAAGTTCAAAGTAGACGTCGTAAAACAAAAATGATCCCAATGTTCAAAGCTGCTAAACTCCAAACTCTCAACTCAAAAGAAAAACTTCAAGGGTTTTCAAGGACTTTTAAGGGCCTGAAAAGATATTTTCAAGGACACCTTTAAATATTTTATGTAGTAAATTTATAATGTAAAGATTTTTAAAATACACCACAAAATATTTTTTTTATTGCATGATACCTAGGAAAATGCACATTTGCCAAAAAAATGGTGCTAGTAAAGGGTTCAGTAGAGTTACTGCAGCTCTTCCTTGATTTCGTGGTTGACGACTAGAAGTTTGTGAATCTTGGTTTTCGCCATTTTCCTTAGGCTCTCCGGCTTGACAATGTAGGTGAAGTCACCTGTTGCCTCTGCTTTCTCAGCGAAGTGATTGGATGAAGCTGTCAGATCAGCAACCATTGTGGCCAGGTGCTTAACGGGCATCTGCTAAACGTGTGTAAATATGCCCTATAAAAAACTTTCCTCGTCGGAATTTTGAAATTTGTTGACATGCACATAAAACTAATAATTATATTTTATTATTGCAACAAAAATTAATTACTCCAAAGGGGAAAAAAAAACGATCACAGGGAAATTTAACGGTTTTCAAGCACTGCTAAAAATTCCATATTTTCAAGGTCTGGAAAATGCCGTTTTCAAATTCAAGGTTTTCAAGGACCCGTGCGAACCCCGTCTATTAAAGGGGTACGGAAACAAAAATTGAAATATTCAAATTTCGCTCGGAAATGAGTCAAGCATGACGGATAATAACCGTAAATGATAATCACACATTTGTATTTTGAACGACTTGATATATTTTACGTTCTAAACGGTGCACTTGAGCAAGCACTCGAAAAGAAGCGAACCGAGAGCGCAATGCGTCATGGGATATCCGGTGCAAAGAAAAACAGAAAGAAAAATTCCCCGCATTCGTGACGTACCAAGGCTGGCGTGGTTATGAGCTTTGCCCTTGGTGGCGTTGTCAGCGTTGTAGTGGTGTCAATAGCGTCAGCGCGTTACAACCGAGCCGTCGTGGGGTGATGAGCGTGTGGCTGGCCCAAGGAGCACGTAGCTTCCACAACACTGTGAGCTTAGGGCTGAACGGGGTCAGGAAAGCAACTTTTGTTCGAGTTTTGAGCAACGGGCTAATCTTCTAGGGGGAGAGTGGTTGTTTCCGGTTGCACGAACGAGGGTCCGAGAAAGAGGGGAGTCCTTCCTTTCCGTCGCCTTGGACCGTTTAATACGATGCGCGACTAGTGAGTTGAGGAGGAAAGCTAAGAGGGAAAATGTTGAAATGCCGAAGAGCGGCGCTGCTCCGAAGGAATGCTATGTCACAACTACGTAGCAGATTCCACAAAGTTGCTAGACTACCTCCCAAATAGGCTCCGCATGCATCCACCAGGTGCACATTGAAATATCATTCATTTAGCTTTAAAATTAGTTTTCTTGTGCCTTAATTTCAATGGAAGACTGGTGTTTTTGAGGTTAGGGTGCAACATGCAACACACTCAAGCTGGAAAATGAGCGCTGGAATTTCGTTTCCCTACCCCTTTAAATAAGGCCATTAAAAAAAAACATAATACTTAGCAGTACTGCGGCTGCTGCCTAACTGCAACTGAGAATCTTTAGAACTGATGAATATGCCCGTTTCATAACTCCAGGCGAACAAACAACATACAGGCAGTGAAGCACACGGTAAAACATGAACACTTCCACACAAACAACCTCAAGATATTGCATGGTGCCGATTCCTCACTCACATGCTTTTTTTTTATGCCCACATATATTGCCCATGTGTATAAACATTTTTATCACAGGCTTCATACTTGTGGGTTCTCTCATGACGCAACATGTTATTTCTCTGTGAAAAGTTTTTTTCACAGGTGCCACACTGGTACGGTTTCTCGCCCGTATGGACCCTCTTGTGTTTCGCCAGGATATCATTTCTGGCGAACGCCTTCTGGCAAACCTCGCAACTGAATGGTTTCTCTCCCGTGTGTGTTCTTTCGTGGTTGATGACAGATTGCAGATAACTACTGGAGTAAGGGCAGAACTCGCAGCGGTACATGCCCTCACATCGGGGCCGCATCGTGGGTAGCGACTCAACCAGTTCACTTCTAGGGGAAGAGGAGTCGCTCCCGCCGTCCCCGTCGTCTGCTTCAGCTGGCACTGATGGGGAAGCCAAGACAAAGAGGTTAAATGACAAAGTCCGATGCAAACATTAAACAAGCTTGGCAAATCTGCAATGCCTTCAGCAGAAAGTAGTCCACACAAAACGAGCGTCCCGACAGCTGTCTATTAAAGAACAAAGAAAACAAACTCCGGAAAAAAACAAAGCAGAAAAAAAGACTGTCATTACATTCATGTGATATCACACGTTAAGTTAATAAAAAAATTGATGCGCATAGCCCCTTCAAGCAGAAAACTTTTCACGTGCACCTAATCTTTCATTGAAGCAACAATAGGCGAGCCTATTTTCTGGGTTTTTGAATTGCTATGGCATATATAAGGCTGCAGTGAATGCTATATGGTACTGTGGAGGTACCATCTAGTGACATAGGTTCATTGTAATAATGTTCTACAAAATGTCATTGTAGAGTCAGTCACAGTAAATCAATGAAAAATCACACACTATTTAAGTATGCAAGCACTGCTTCCGGTGCAAAGATGCAATCAACAAAACAGTTGTCGATATCTTGTAGCCTCAAGCACCAGGCAAGAGCATGAGTTGCAAGACAACCACATCACAATGGTTTTGTTTTGCACAAATGAGTGGTGGCGAATGCGATCACGTAGGTCAACTGCTTGTTCTCATCTAAATAACTGTGATCCATTTGATGCACTAGGAGACACTCTCTTTTCAATGATGCTGGACTGGTATAAGCAAGAACACTGCACAAAAAATGCATGTTCCCAAAAGCTGAGATGGCCAGCGAGAACAAGTGTCTCTGCAAAGCAACAATGTGCCATTGGATTGGATTGGATTGGATTTGGGGCTAACCCCTTTGTATCGGGGGATCTCAGCAGCGCTGGATCTAGCCTGGCTTTGTCACATCTTGCAATGGTTGCCAGAGTCAACCTGCAAGGTTGAGAAGAGGATAAATTGCAAATATACTGTCGCTCATGCGAGGCAAGCATTTGGGCGCTTTTTAATGCACCGGACATGGCAGAATGACATGGACACTAAAGGCATATTGTATCAAAAGAATTGCTAACAGGAATGCTGAGAAAAAAGTCACAAGTAAAACGAACAGTACCAGATAGTACTATTCATACGGCCAAACTGTATCGGGCAATCAAGTTTGCCTTTTACTTCATACCCTTGGTTTGAGGAAATCATAATTCTTAAATGCAGAAAATTGATTGCCCCATAATTAAGGATTTTCAAATCCCCAAGCTCTTGGAAAAACTACTCAGTTTGTGTACCACCTTCCAGTAAAACATTTTTACACATGTCTAAAAAAAACAAAAAAAAAAACTCTTACAATGAGAGGGATGATGCAGAAAAAATCTCTGAAATCAAAATTTTTTTCTACATTCTCAAGCAAGTCTTTAAAAAACGGCCAAGCAATGGAACCTTAAGGTCAGTTTTTGCAAAAAGAAAAACAAAAAAACATTGCAACAGATTTGTGTTTAAGCAAAATAATGACACACTTAATCAGTTGTCCTCAAGGCAATTAAAACTTGCCTGCCTTTGTTTGGGGAAACAATAGGGAAAAAACTGCTTAACTAAATATCCCCTTTAACACATGGCTAGATACTAAAAAGTGTAGAGAACACAATGTTAGAAGTACTTTTAAGATTAACCCATTATGCGTGATTTCGCCATACATTGAAGTTCACTGCTCAATGTCTGGCTAACAAAAACATCTTACGGGAATTGTTCGTGGGTCTTATTTTTCGCGAATTGTAGGCAATTAGCGAAAATTAGGTCCTCGCAAAAATTAAGTTGTTTACAGTATTAATCCATAAAATTGTAACCTGGTAGATTCAGAAGAAGAGGTGGAGGTAGATTCAGAGGTAGATCCAAAAAAATCAAGTTTTAGGAATTCTTTGGCTCCAAAGACCTATGTTCCCCTTTAAGAAGGTGAACAGCTTTGCAAGAAACATCATAGCCTTGCTTACTTTTCAAACACACACACAAAAAAACGAACAAAAAAAAAATTGAAAGCCGTTTACAATTCGGCGTTACTCCCTGCATCGCCGAATTGGAGCACAGCTCTTGAGGAGGAGGGAAGGGTACTGAAGGGAGGGCATATTCCTCCTCCTCCCTCGTGATCCTGCCTGGGGGGGGGGTCAGGTGACCTTACGGTTACGCCGACGCCGCTCAAGCCGGAAACGGGCGCTTAAGAGCTGCGCTCTAAAAAAAACAGGTGTCAGATTAATTATGCAAACATGTATCTAAAAATACTGCTCACAGATATATAAACCTAAAGTTCATCAGGAGAGCTAAAAGATATGAGGAGCTTGATTTCAGTACAAATGGTGTCTGCAGGTACTAATAGACAGGTGTCCCTCAAGGCAGGCTCTGCATCAAGGTGGTGCCTTGTCCGATGCAAACATAGATCTGCTCGCATGATCGCTTTTCCACAAGTCTAACACTGGCCACTCTCCCTTATAAATTATTCCAAGACTCAACAAATTGGTTGCGTGTTCGAATGCTCTCCGAGAAGTGCTGCCCTTCAATATATATGCTTTCCCCCAAGAGCGTCCTTTCGTCAGGTGATGCCAACTCTGTCGCAAGCACAGTAAAGACAAAAATGGAATTGGTGTTTGTCCTCTCGTTGCCGGGGAGACTACCACTAGCACTTTCCTTTTTTGCCAGTGATGCCCAAGGTAGGTCCTACTGGGAGCCTGTGGCACACCAAATTGAATTTGCAGGCATTGATGTGGCAACTTGTTCTAATATGCACTTTGCACTATTTATGTAAATGTAAAAAATGCCATTTTCAGCACTTGCATACTATTTATCTGATTATCTCTTATAGTTATGGCTTTCAGCTATGAATAAATTCAACAAATATACTGGCCAAAAAAAAAAAACAGAAACAGAAACATTAAATGAAATAATCATTTCCAATACAGTAAAATGCCAAAAAGAACATTAAGAGAAGCCAAAATCACTGGCAACAAAATACGCTCTAATATGTTGTTTAAACTGTGGTATAGAAACTTTATAATTAATTTTGAGATCCTTGCGATTTAGGATTGTTGCGATTTCGAAAGTTAACTTTATCGCCCATAGTTTGTTTTTACACTAGGTACTTTGCGTTTTCGACGCCACATGTTATACACTGGTGATTGCTCATCTTCTGGAGCCAGGTAGGATTTATTTCTATGAATTAGTCGCAGCAGTTTTAAATTATATATATGGTTGGCATCAACGTTACTAAAACACTCAGTTGGGAAACTCCCATAGAGACAGCCCTAAAAATATGGCCCCAATCTGTCTCCAAGCACCGAGCTAATGACGAACACAACGCCACCATTTCTCCCGCAGCGGCCACTCGAGAAACTGCACGTGACTTCTATTTTTGGCTTTGACAGAGTGAACCCCCGTCTCCCCGGCGGACGCGCCGCGTTGAACCACTGAAGTTAAAATGCACCTAGGTCGGGACGCGCTACCTGAAAGGCCCGCTGAGGCATGGTTTTATAAAAACAATATTAATTGTTCCGCAAAACCTTGCGAACTAAAGATAATAAAAACATCACGCGCGCATCATTTGGTACTAAACTCCAATAAATTTCATACAAAAAGAGTCTTTTCCGTTTGTTTTTACGCAAAACACAGGCTTTCAAAAAGCTCGAGGGGACCATAGTACAGACAAACGAAAAAGAGTGGCGCTGTTGTCGCATTTAGCTCGGTCTCGGTGGACGCCAGCGGCCCAGGTTTCGACGGCGAGTTTCCCAACTGAGTGTTTTAGTAACGTTGGTTGGCATTTAAAATGTTATGTTTAAAAAGCAACTCTGGTCAATATTTTTGTATTTGGGATTACGACTGTCTTCAGTTAAAGCAGTGTCCCTGAATTACAAGGTATAATTTTTTTTGTTTCAATGCTGTGTGTATATACCAGGTGATTCAAGAGGACGGGAGGCTCTTTAAATTGCCCAGAAAATTCGGTTTCTTAACCTTTCGCGCTACGACTTTGTGCAGCGTTGCCCACAGATGGTGCACTTTTTGTGTAAAATTTGCAAAGAGCAAACTTACTTGAGGAAAAAGTAAAGAAGGAAAAAGGCTTAGCTCCTATGAAAACGCAGCGACGCCACCGGTCTTCAAACAACACGGCGCCGTTTCTCACGGGAGACAAGAGATGGCGCAACGAACGCCGCCAACGAACGAGCATTTGGCGCCGAGAGCCGGCGTCTTTAACAGACGAGCTTTTCGACTCAAAAGCGGCGAGCGTTCCGCAGGCGGCGACAGTCGCAGAAACAAGAACAGGCGCGGTAACAACAAAGAACTGCAGTACCTTGTCTGCTAAATACACCGGCTCTCGGCGTCGTATGCTCGTTCGTTGGCAGCAGCTGGCGTCGCGACCGCTTGCGCCATCTCTTGTCTCCCGTGCGAAACGGCGCCGTGTTGTTTGAAGACCAGTGGCGTCGCTGCGTTTTTATAGGAGCTAAGCCTTTTTCCTTCTTTACTTTTTCCTCAAGTAAGTTCGCTCTTTGCAAATTTTACAAAAAAAATGCACCATCTGTGGGCAACGCTGCACAAAGTCGTAGCACGATAGGTTAAGAAACCAAATTTTCCGGGCAATTTAAAGAGCCTGCCGTCTCCTTGAATCACCCGGTAGTTTTATAAATATCATGGCTCAAAGTTTGGTTTCGAGCGTTTACAGCAAGATTAAAACTATCTGCTAGAGGGATGGCAACACTGATCATCAGCCGTAATGCCATGACTTGACGTCATCGTGGTGCTGCGGTCAACGTTATGCGGAGAGCAACACTAGCAGTATACTTAGTCCTTAGGATGTTTTAACATTCTGGGGATGTCCTGTTAAAGTTCAGAGGAAATTTGTGCTGTTTGGGAAGTCGCCTGCTTCTTTCGCAGGAGTTGCGGCGATGTTGCAGGACTTGTTACATGCACCACATACTTAATAGGCTCTGGTTTGTCATCATCATCTCCAGCTGCAGCATTATTTTTTCGATTTGTTTATAATTTGACAAACTTGAGATAAACCAGGACCAGCATTATCGAGTCCAATAGCCTCTCTATATTCACGGTTTGGCCAATTTGGTCTTCTTGTTCTAGTAGGGACTGGCCCAGATTTATAAAGTGTTGGTTCATTTTCTCTGGAGCTTGTTGTCCTGGTATTATCTTATCATCTGGTAAAATTTCCTTAACGCACAGCGGCGATACCACCGTGCGTCGTCTGCTACGGGCGCACGTTCGGAAGCATGGATCTCGACGACACAGGCCCGTTTTTGGCTGAGTTAAGTCCTCCTTACTAAACGCTTGCTGTTTTTGTTGTCGTTTCTTCCTAGTAAAGGTAGTGTTGTATCCTTTATCATGCGCGGAAATTCAGCAAAGCGATTATTATTAAGTCGGATGCTTCCATAGTCTTAGTGTTGTGGTTTGTATACAACTGCTGGTCCCACATATTTTGTTACCTCGCACAAACCATAGTTTTCATAAAACATTGAATGTTGATTGGAGCTGGGGTTTTATTAAAACATTAATCCGACTGATTACTACCCTTTAATAGACTAATCAATCAATAAATCTATTAGTTGATTTTTGACTGATCTATGACCGGTAAAAAATCAAAGACATTAAAACTAAACTTTTTTGTTTACTATTTTTACTATGTCATAAACGGCATATTGCATTCCCATTTTAATCTTCACGTTGTGACGACTACAGAAATATGAACACGGGAAGCCTTTTAAAGTGAAGTAATTTTTAAGTTATTATTTAAAGAGTATAATCACCCACGATGACAATCACAAGCACGCTGAAGTGGTTGACCGTGCAAGCTTGTGTCCTAGAAGAAATAAAGACGTCAGAAATACTAAAGCAGGCATTTTTTACTATTTCCTGACTTTCTCCAGCACAAGATTCCAATTAAACGGCAAAGGAAAAATATTGCAATTAAAGCATCACTCAAACATTCGGAAGGTTAATCGATGAACTCCTCAGTCCCGATATGCGTTAGGTGAGGGCGGAGGGTGATTGGAAAGTCTCATGAGAGTCCTTAGCCCGAGTCAGCAAAAGAATGTCGCTGCGGCCGATGCCGTCTTGTGTCGTGGTACGAGCTGGTGGGGTTTCAGAGTCTACTATGTTTGAATAGCAGATTATTTAGCCAGAAATTTCTACTATTAACCTTTTGACATTCGCGGCCCTCACCGGGAAAATTGAAGCGGGTGAACTCACACTACCGAGAAAAACATATAATATAACACACACGCTGCTGCGTTGCTCGATTACACCTGTTTGTTCCACTCGCGGCAGATATATTAGAACAGTTTGTTTCACTTGTTTCAGTTTTCCTGAAAACAAACATTTTCCGGATCGCAACTAGAAGAGGCACTTCCTCCTCATCGCAACGTAGTAGAATTGTTCAGACTCCGAAAAACTTACTCACGCCCCTGCACAGTAAAGAGAAACATTGGCTGCAGCGGAACTCAATTGCACGGTAATTTCTGACATAACACTAACTTCTCTCCATGCTTAATATTTATATTGCTGCAGAAGCTAAAAGATGCAAAAACGAAAATGCATAGATCCTGCGATTTCACAATCCACAGTACCCCAATTATGTTATCCAGGTTGGAATTCATTGTTTTGTTGAATTGCTAAGCTGGTGGACTGATACATCTATTTTTAAAGAAACAAATATATAATATAAATAGTGCAGTTCACCCAGAGACAGGCACCCGCCATGGTAATCCATGCTTCCCAACGTCCGCCTAGAACAGACGACGCATCCACACGAGCGATTATTTAAATGTAGGCCGTACGCTGGTAACACAATTCAATCTTCACTGAAGCATCAATTGGTACCGCACCCTTTTCTGCTAAATTGTTTTCCCACCGATACTGCATGACAAAATAAACACAACAATCTACACCGTCTCGCATGCTAACATGGAGAGCCTATGAAGCGACCACGCTTCTATCCCCGCTTTGATGATGATGATAGCGCGACAGTAGCGCCACCTCTAGGTCGATCTCAAGGCTAATACAGATAAGGACACGCTAAGGGCGACAAAGGCAGAACAGACCTTAAATTGTCTTGCCTTCTCGAGAACGGGCACAGAGGGGGGCCGACAGGGAGGGTCAAGCCACACGTCGCACAGTTTGATGTCCTAGCGAGCAGTCTCTGAAAGCCGAGGCGTGAGGCCCCTCCCCCCGTCTCTTTCTGCTGGCGGCCCCAGCTTCAGACGCAAGGAGGTCCGACCACCAGGGGGACGTTTCGCAGCGTGTCCCCACAAAGTGGGGAGCACGGTGGGGAGGCACGCGATGCGAGAGTAAGCAGGTAGATGGCTCCTCCTCCGAGGCATGAAACAGGGGCGCTCCGGCTGGCAGTTGGACAGCTTGGAGTGCTTTGCCCGTGGCCGTACGGCCTAATCAGGAAAGTGGAGCGGGCGGCTCCCACAACTGCCCCCTTCTTAAGATTCTGAGCACTCCTTTGAAACAAAAAGATGCTGGCTCTCATTCCCTCCCCTCCCCCCCCCCCCCCCCAAATGATGCACACACAAAAAAAAAAAAACACTACGAAATTCCATTGAAATATATAAAATACATCATACATAATACAAAATACACCCTTGCATCCACTGTCGTCCGAGGCTCCACCTACTAAAACTTGAACAGCTTCTCCGTGAGCCGCTGCTCCTCCTCCGGATCAGCGCCGGCGCCGAGAGCGCCGCCTCCCCACTCACCCCGTCCATCGCTGCGCCCACGGGCATCGGAGCAGGCTGCTGTCCAGGATAGCAGGGCTGCAAACTCCGGCCGTCGTGCCATGTATGACAGCACGGCATCCGTGGCGCCGGGCTGGTTGAGGGCTGTGTGCAGGTCAGGCAGCACAGGCGGGAGGACCACCTCGGGCACCTGGACACGGCTCAAGTGAACCTTGCTCCAATCGTGGACCTTGTGTATACGGAGAACCCCACAGCCGTCGCAGTACACCGCCGCAGGGTCTGGAGTCATGGAGGCGCCCGGGCCTCCCCGGCTGCGTCCAGGACCGGGCAGCCCCGAAAGAGCGGGGGCAGCTTCTCGCTCGGGACCCCCGATCCGGGCTGCCGCTGGTCCGACCACCCCCGCCACGAGACGAAGCCGTGCAGCGGCCCGGTCCCTTGCTGCTACGTCCACGTTGCGACGTGGCAGGTCAATTTTGTGGCAGGGAGCGGGGCCGTTCCAGCCCCAGGAGACTGGGCATCCAACGGTGACGGTGTTGGTGTCATCGAGGTGGCCCTGAAGGGAGCCGCTGACCGGGGTTGTTCCCAGATCCCATGGCGACCGTTTTCGGGGGAATCTGCGGATGGGTGGCGACGGGCGGTGGCCCGCCGACTGGCAACGACGTCAGGGGCCCAACCTGTTCCTCGGCTCACCAGGGCCACAACCGTAGAGGCGCCGCCTCCAGGAGGACCTCCAGTGCTCCCTACCCGAAGGCCAGGCCGCCGAATCTCGCGGCCCCTGCTCAGCACCGTCCACACGTTGCTGCTGTCGTTGCATGACTCTCGTATACCTACATGAGAGGGAAAAAGGGAAGGAACCCCCGAGGCGGCCCTTCAGAGCATCTTCTTGCATACGACAAGGATATTCTACTCAGTCTCCTGTCAGACGCGTGGTGGGGAATGGGGGTGGAAAGCACGTCTTTGAAACAAGGCTTGAGGAAAAGTCAGTGGGCCAACCCCTCGCAGAAAGTTGAAAAATCCCTCGAAAGTGCTCCTTCTCCAGGATCGCTTTGGCTGAACTGGGAAAAGGGTGCTTGGGGGGGCTCCTGACAGCAGCATTTACTTGTGAGCAAGGAAGAATTTGAAGAAACCATCTCCGACTTGGAGGACATGGATGTTACACCACAAGTGCCCAACGAGGAAAATGAGCAGCACCAGGGAACTTATGACCACGAAAGTTAAATAATGGACGGTCCTACAGACCATCCAGCGCCGGTGCCTATGCAACCTCCCACTACAGTATCATCAAAACCAAAGAAGAAGAAAGTTAAGCTTACTTATGATGAACACTTCAATCAGGCATGTTAGTCAAGTTGTAGAGTTTCAGGTTTGTTCTTTGTTCAGAAAGGAATATGTATCCGATCTGATGTTAATGTCCAGTTTCAGTCAGCTGTAAAGAGCAGTCTGGCAACCTCAGTAAACCAGTTTCGCCACAAGACAAACTCAATGCAAAGTGGTTGTACAATCTATGAGTTGTGCTGCAAGAGGAGCTTGTCTTGCTTCACCACAACGGTGGTAGCTTGGCTTAGATTCAGGTACTCATGGGAGCGAAACAGAGCACTGGCATCCTCAGAAGGAAAGCCCCCATAGGCTGAAACAGCAGGGGCATCAGTCTCTGTAAGGGAGAATACAAAGTAAGCTTATCTCCGTGTCCGAAACACCAAGCCATACTCTTAGTTCAACACTGATCTAAACACCTTGACTATATTGCAAATTTGTTTCATGCATCAGCTCTCCCAAAGCACAGGAATATCAAGTTTGCCCACTGCCAGTCATGGCAAGATAATGAAGATCACTTCAACTAGAGTCACTGAACAGGTTTCCAGAGTACCAAAACTCCCAAGCTCCGTGCAATGGCACTCAAATTCATCCATATCCGTGCCACCATTTTGGAGCCTAGCATAGTACACTGTACAATAACTGTATGCACAATGCATCGCTGTTGTTGTCGACAGGTATTTCGGGTGTGTGTGTGGCGCTGTGCATAGATGCTATAAAAAGCAAAAAAAAAAAAAAATGAAAAAAAAAAGTTTGCGAAGTTGACAGGATTCGAACCTGTGCGGGGAGACCCCATTGGATTTCTAGTCTATCGCCTTAAAGGGGCCGTGCAATCATATTTAAGCGTCTACCTTTTTTGTGGCTTCCATGTCTCTTGGGGTTCGGGCAAGCCATGGGGCACGGAGAAAGTAACTAAATATCAGTGCGTTATATTTTAACCGGACGACGCGGAAACCTCCTCCACCAACGGGGGCGACCTGCGGTGCCGAAAGCACACAAAATGTGAAGTCTTTGGTCCTGGGCTTACTACTGGTCAGAGCTACTAAAAGCTTCTTTTTAGTTGAAATACAAAATATAAGTGGCACAAACCGTTTCAATTATTTATAAAAGTAGTTTTAGAGCGCAGCTCTTAGGCGCCCGTTTCTGGCTTGAGCGGCGTCGGCGTCGCAGTCGGTGTAACCACACGGCGCATTATGGGTAAATTTCCCCGCTAAATTGAGCGGAAAATTTTTCCCGCTAAATTTAGCGGAAAAATTTTCTCGCTAAATTTAGCAGAAAAATTTTCCCGCTAAATTTAGCGGAAAGATGTCCCCGCTAAAGTTAGCAAGAAAATTTCCCCGCAAAATATAGCGGAAAATTTTCCCCTAAATGGGAGGCGAGCAGGAAAGGGGGAGAGGCATAGCCTCCTCCCCGTACCTTCCCCTCCTCCTCAAGAGCTGCTGCTCTAATTCGGCGTTACACGCGATTGTAAACGTCTTTCATTTTTTTGTTCAAAATTTTAGATCAGAAAAGAAACAAATGCACCTTATAAAGTACTGAAACAAGAAATGACCCGTTGACATACCCGCCACCAAGCGGTGGAAAAGGCGGTGCATCCTAGACTGGTGTAGTAGGATCAGGCACCGACGAGCGGCGAGCATAGAAAGGTCCCTGATGTACGCGGCGGCGCTGCAGTCGTTACGAGCTCGAGGATCCGACCGGTTCTGAGCGTTCTGAAGGCCTTCGGCGAGGAGGTTTGGTTCGCGGTTTGGCCATTTAGCAATATGGCAGCGTGAAGTGGCTCCCGTTCTGAACTGATCTTTACCCAGTGTTTGCTGTCATTTGTGGCCAATGAAGTGTCGTGCCGAATTAGTGTTTAATCATGCAGCAAATGCAATGCGGGCCGCCCTCGCTGCCCGCTTCATACAGCCTATCCAGAACATGCTTTAGTGGCGCCCTCTCAAGCCGTTGACACGGAGTGCGGCAGCCGTGAGCGCTCGCTGAGCTCACTACCCTTCCTCTAGCTCACGGCCACTCAAGCGGCCAAGGGCGTCATGAAGGAGGTTATTTTTTGCTTGTTTTTGTAATTTTGGTTTGCCTATAACTTTTAAAATAAAGTGAAATTCGAGAGAAGAAAGGTTTCATTAAGTTAGTACGTTCAGTGCGCTCAGGTTTGGTGCAAATTAAAAACCAGTAAAAAAGTCCTTGCAGCAGCCCTTTGAAGGAATACTGACAGGGTATTTATGCTTGCCAGGGTTTTTATTTGTACATGACATATGAGAGTTCAACTACTTAGAACACAATTTGCGGCTCGAAACTCGTTTTCTTTCCACCCGAAAACTGCCGGTCAAGAACTGGCCGGCTTGAGTCACGCTCACTCTCTTCTTTATGGTAACGTGCCATTTTCTAAGGTTTAGAAACAACCACTAAATATAATCAAAGTTGCGGGTCATCGAAATCACACACTCAATACTAGAAATGGACAAAAATTATGATACCCATTTTTGTAGCTTCTAAGAAGGTCTGATTACGTTGATTGAAACAAAAAAAAGTTGCACAGCCACGTGACTTCCGGTATCTTTCTTCTCCTCTACATTTTTTCTTCCTCCCCAGTCCATTTCGGCTTCGAGCAGTTGCATTTTTTTCCTTTATTAAAAAATGCGATACTGTAGCAAAATATTGATTAGGTAATCTTCTGGCACCATAATAGATCGCCTGGCAAAAAAACAAAAAATATTTTGGGAGGTGTCAGTGTTCCTCCAAGTCATTTGCGACAACATTTACAGTGCAGTTTAGCTGGACTTGTGTAATCATTACTTCATGGCTCATGCTAAAGACCGTCAGGCTGGTAGTCAAACCTCACTGGCAAAATACCTCATTTTGAGATGAGTCACTAATCACTTCTAAATATCCAAAAATACCAATAATTCACTTGATGAGGGTGGTCTGTGCCGTGTTCCCATTGTAGTGGCAAACTTATTGGCAAGAGCTTAGCCGCTTACTTCTGCCATCACATTAGGCCCCTGGCCTTTTTTTATTTACGTTTTTTGAGCGTTCAAGAGACTGTGGTAAAAAATGCAGAAGCATTTCATCAATTTATTTACAACAGCATACAAGATGTTCAGGACCGGACAGGAACAGAGATTGAAACATGCTAGTATCAAGCCCTTGTGATAGCTTGACAATTGCTTTGCTGGACATATGAAGCTTGCAGCAAATGCAGACAATAGGAGGTGTCCGAGAGTTGTTAGAATGGCCCGATATGAAATCAGTGACTAGCAAAAACCAAGGATATTTGTGTCACCATTCATTCTACTAGAGCAGCAAGATGCATCTCATTCACTTGAGGCATCAAGTGACATACCTATCATGGTGTCAAGGCATCATTAATGTTTTTTGTGCCGAAAAAAAAAAAAAATTAACAATGTCAAAAAAAGAAACTAAAATTACAATAGTTTGAGGGCCTATTCACACAAGACTGTTTACTTAAATTGCGTTATGAGTCACCCGGACATTCATGCTTCGAATTGTGCATGCAAAGCTACTTGCTACATATTTTTGTATGCTTCATACGAAGCGAAGCAATTTGAATAAAAAGCACTACAATATAATTCTTATTCAGAAGCAACCATTCTTCTAAGCATCATTCGCGCCGAACCAAGCTTAGTCGAAGCAGCCTGATCGGCTGCGAGGAGACGAGCAATACATACTGAAGACCAGTGAAATGCACTTGCCTCACAAAGCCTGCTTCCCGCAGTGGGCTTAGAATTTTTCCGTTTTATAATGGCAAGCCAAACAC